TGCTGAACCTCAAGGAGGCATTTCTGTAATTTTAAACTAAAAGATGCCAAGTATAAGGAAAATTTAAATTAAAAGAAATAAAGTGATTTTCAAATGTAAGAGAAAAAAAAAACACAAGGAATTAATAATGTGTTGTCTCCTTTAATCTAATTAGGTAAAAATATGTATCAAAAATAAGCATAATTTAATTTTCTATAGGGAAATTTCTGTAGTCTCATCCACACAGCTGGTAAGAGAGCACTTAAGGGGAAATTTTACTTTCTCTCTCTCTCAATGTTTGGTGAAATATTGTACATAATTAACTTGAAACTTCCTGAGTACTACTTTTAAACATGCAATAGAAAGAAGGTACTATGCAGCTAATTTCAGATTTAATGCTGGAAATATGTTATTGAAAACAGAACTTCATCCTTTGAATTAATGCAATCATTACTAAAAAGCATTTGTATTATTATAACGGAATAAACTCCAAAAAGAAAATAAAATACGTACAAAGTAAATCAATTCCAAACTGATATTGTGAAATATGTTCAAAAATTGATGTCAAGATCGGTAACAATGCTACTGTAGTATAATTGATATTCTGTGAAACACCCTTGATTTGTGTTCGCGCATGGGTAAATTTCCCAAGTTTAAGATTTTCTGAAGTTTTTTCCAGGTCTTCAGCTGCATTTTCAAAAAAGGCACGCAACCCAGCTTTAACAAGCTCAGATCCTGATTTCATAACAGTTCTGAAAAACAATAAGGGAAAAATATTAACTTTGCATTGATCTTCAGTAGTTGTACAGATATATATGTACATGTTAGTTATATTCTATCCGTCTTTGAAGATAAACGTGTATCAGTGAACTCTACATTATGAGCTGAAAAGGACAATTACATCTACACAGCAGAATAAGCAACAATCAGCTTGGAGCATTTAATGCAAAATAATAACAAAAAAGATCTTCCTTAGTTTTGTCTTTCCAGTTTTTGTGATCTACTTTCAAACAACATAATGCCTTTCCAGCAAATATCACAGATGGGAAGAATGTTCCCCTGTACAACATGCTCAAGAAAAATATCTCTTAATCCCTAAATTTTTATGGAAGCCACAGTACTTAGGTGTGCAAGTCAGGATACACGCTTACTTATCTTCAAAGCACCCTAAATCTAGAAAATGCAACTGCAGTACCAAGCATCACAGTCCCATTCCTTAATTTTTTTGCACTCTTCTCCAACCCCTTCATGAAGCTTTGCAGTGTTGTTATTCATGAATTCATTGTCAGGCTGCTGTATAACATAACCAGGCCAGAAAACAGTTCAAATTAAGAAACTATCCTGGCCTGCATTTTAATTTACATAAGCATTTAAATGGTAAAAAGTAAAAGTTAGCAAATGTAACTATGCCCATGTAATAATACATTCTGCATACTTCTAATGCCAAAGTCTTCAAAGGCCCTTGGAAAGGGTGCAAGAAGTTTTCAATGTTTTAATGACAAGCATTGAACAGAAAAATGCATATGCAACTCTTTAGATTAAATCTACTAATATGGAGATAACATCTGAATTATTGATATTGCTAATATCATTAATTACAAATAAGGAATAAAAAAACTGCTCCTGAAAAACACCTACGTAGTTTGTATGTAGCTGGTACAAATGTCAAAAACTCACCTTGTGTCAAGAGACTGAGCTAAGATGTGCAGGCAGTTCACCATTGTAGCAGAATCACTACCTGTAGAAAGAGATACTATGAGAACACTACAGTATAAAATAAGTAGGATAATCTAATGGTCCAAAATATCATTATTAGAGATGCACAGGTTAAACAAGACATGACATAAGTCTCCCACCTTAGGTCACTGGAGGGAGAGTTAAGTCTGGTTCTAGAACTAACTTTCAAGTTCTTAAGCCCATTTCCATACAAGAACTAAAAAGAACTAGTGTCTACTTGTGGCTCATTTTCTTCTCTTGACCCTGCAACACTCTGAACGTTGTTATTTTGTAGTACCTACATTTCTTTCATCATTTTCTTACTAATACCTTTGAAAAACATATGCTACTTCCCCCTAGCCTATTGAGAAATTGATCTGTTGGATTCAACAGCTAGATGACAGAAATCAAAACAACTACTATAAGATGATTTTGAAGGCATGAGATTTTTTTAAAGGAGTCTGAAAATGCTAGAAGCTGCTATTTCTTCCTGCTCCAATACTTTAAATATTCTCTTAACTGTTACCTTCAGAGCCATGTTCAATGCACTCACTAATTGTACTGGAAATTAATGCATAATTTTATACAACTTGCCTGTAGTTTGTGAAGTGTTTCAGGTAAGATAGAAGCAATGGTTATACGTTCTTTATACTTTTTATCAAGATCTTTCTTAACAACTTACCAAAAAGTGAGATCCTATGTCTAACAAGAGCAGCTAGTTTGCAGAACAGGCTAAAGTAGAAAAGAACAGAAAGAGCAAGATGACAAGACAAAGATTAAAGATTTATTTAGAATATGAGATAAAGAGTAGTAGGAATATGAAAGGGAAAACACAACATAGTTCCTGGAATGTGTATTTTGAATCATACATGATGATAACAGTCAGTCAAATAACTGCATTAAGATGAATAACTTTTTGATGTTTCTGAATTCTCTCATTTTCTAAACTTTTCTACTTCAGAGATGACTTGAAATGTGAAACTTTCTTTTGATTACAGTGGTTTCCAACAATTGCATATTATACAGCTTAGCCATTCGTTATGGCTATTATTTCTGAATAAGAAATTATTTTTGTAAGAACAAGAAAAACTGAGTAACACTTTAGTGTTTCACTTGGCATTTTGCAGGAAATGAATATTACAAACGTTCATGCTATTTAAAACAATTTGTGAAGATATCCTCTGCAAATAAATAAACCTTGGTTTAACCACTGTGATGATAAGATGAATCCTGAAATATATACAGACTAGAAGAACTTCTGGCAAGTATGTGAGAAATTTGCATATCTAACCTATCTGTCAAAATAGTAGGATAATTAATAAAAAAGATAAATTAATAACTCTCTAGAGGTTAAAGAGGCTGCTTTAACTTCTAAAAACAAAGACAGCTAGGTAGACTTGTTTATCATCTGTGCTATACTTTAAAAATGGAATTAGGACATAAAAAATGAAGCAAATATACCTCAGGAATTGGTATGGTCTCTTACTAACAAGAGATTTTCACTGTTTTCTTCACAATAGCAAGGAAATACTATACTTCCTGTAAGATGAAATAATCACTTTTCTCATTGAAGAACGGACAAAAAGGTATTTCTGAAATTATAATAGCAGATATGCAGGCTAGACATCTAACTTCTTTCATGTGCCTTTGTAAAGGCGTTTCATACAAACCTAGAAAGCATCTTTCTAGCTTTATTAAGCTGACCTGACTGACTTTATTCTAAGGATTATTCAGAGAGGAAACATTAAATTGAAATGAAATGTAACTTCCACCCTCCTGAACCTGAGTTGACTTCCTCAGCTACTGGAGGACTATCTTGCACATTTGCATATACAGTATCTGAAAGCTCATCAAGCTTAGGGACTTAACACTCACTGTTATGGGCAACTGCTATATAAGCACTACTGCCCACCTAGAAGATGGAAACAAAAGGGTAATAATAATTTAGAGAAATGCAAAAATACTGTGGAAGATAAACTGAAGAATGTAACCTAGGAAGTTCAGTGCTAGGCCTTGTCTTGTTTAACAACAAGTAAGTAACCTTTACTTTCAAGTTTTATATAGAATGGTACTCTTTACTATTTATACAGAATCATAGAATATCTACTCTTCCATCGAAAAAGTAGTAAACTCTGGTCAATATAGTGAAAGAAAGCAAAAGAAATTTGAGAAACTGACAGTTAAAGTAAGAGAGCATGACAGTAACATACAGTTTAAAAGATTAGGATACAAAATTTCTCAAAGGAAAAAACTGGCAGCACACCTTTAAAGGGGAGGAAAATACTGGCAACAAAAATATCAGATGACAATTGTAATTAAAAACAACTTAAATATTAATTTTTAAATGTTAACTGCAGAAAAATTGAATTCATATTTTTGTAAAGGCAACACATCATAAATTAAAAGGCAACTATTTCTTTTTATTTGAGTTTTCTAGAATAACTTTGAGTCAAATGGCTGATTCCAACCAAATCTGAAACAGTACAGATGTCTGAAAATTATTAAATTTCAACAACTATTGTGTGGGGGCAGAAGTAATTTTGTAGAGAGAGCAGAATCTGTAATGAGCCCTAAAAAGATGCATTGTGATATTTTCACATTTTTGGTATCTGAAAATTTAAATGTGAGACCATTTAAGTGACCCAAAAAGTGGGATAAGCTTCAACCAGAAACTGGCATCAACAATGAAACACAAATCCATCAGAAACTAAGTTTTATTAGTTCCATTGCTCACAGAATTATTTATTACTGTTTTTGATGTTGTCATCCATAATTATATATTTTATATATATAAATTAGTATATGTACTTAATTCTTTAATTATGTATTAAAGAATACTAAAATGAGGAATTCTATTCACTCACTGCCATTCTGATACAGAATAAACTGTTCACTTTTTATGTCAGGAAACTGAGCTTTTGAACTATTTTTCTCTTTAATCTAAGACGACACCTTTAATTATCTATATAGATCCCTCCTGTGTATATCTTAATTTTCTACTTACCTTGCTACCATTTCCTTTTCCTTATTTGATGCATATCCACTGCTACTGAGTGTTTTTGTTGGAGAAGACAGGAAGTAGAGGCAGTGATTTGTAAAGTACTGATCAACTAATGGTAAAAGAACCTAAGAAATACAGATACAAAATGTATTTTTCACAGAGCACAATGGTAAATGTAGCAACAATGCTCTGATTCATCAAAGATCATTCAAAGAATTTGAGAAGTTATGTAACAGTTCTATTTTCTTGTTTCAGACACAAAGTCATATAAATTAAAACCTTAAGTCTTACAATTTTACTTGACAGTTATGTAAAGAATAAACAGAGTTACACAGATCTGTCTATTTTGGATCTAATATTGAAGGTTTAACTCTTCCCACATTCAACAGTGATAAATATCATTGAACTAAGAGGACCCTTCCTCTCCAATATTTACATAACTGTCCAGTACAGATACAAAGGGAGAGGTTTTTTTTTTTTTGTTTAAGATCCTAAATTAAATCCTAAATATTATTTTTACTTCAAATTTGATGATTGACAACATTTTTCTTATTAGGTACACAAATGTGTATGACGTTACTATGCATAGGAGTATTTATTCCTGTTAATTAAATGATACTATGCACTTCAGTGATATACAGCGGCAAAATTTTTCAGAAATAATTGATATGTTCAGCGAGAGTATTTAATTTCATTTAATAAATAAGCTGCCTTTTAATTTCTATGTTCCTTCTCATGTAGAAGCAGATATATTGAAATATTTTGAAATACTTGAATCCAGCAAATATATTGAATTATTTTTGAAAATATTCTGAAATATTTGTTAACATTTAATTGATTACTTACCATGCAAAAAATGGGAAAGATATATTTCTATTACCTGAAAATATTCTAACATTACAAATTTCCATATTCTGTATAGTGAAATGTGTTTGTAACATTACTTGAAATACCAAATCACTCACTTTGGCAAAGAATTTTATTTCTTGGTCATGTGGAGATTTTTCAGTTTTCCCACTGGTTACAATGGCTTCTGCAAGGATACAATCAAGGCAGACAAAAATAAGTTGTCTAATAATAAATAACACCATAGCTCTTTGATATACCTTGCAAACTTAGTTTTGCTGAAATACAAATAAATTAGCAGAAACAATATAGCTAATTACGAATGTCCAAGAATTCAGTTAGAATTAAAAGACAGCATTTAAGTTTCTTAAATGCAACAAAGATAGTGATTGCTACAAATTTAAATGTATCAATTAAAATATTTAAATATTAAAAATTTAAATTATTTTCAAAATAAAATCTGCAGCTTACCTAAATGTGCAATAAACTCTTGAGCAGAATCAACATATTTTAAAATTTTCTTCAGAAACTTAAAGGCAAACCTCTTTTCCATGGATGAAGCATCCAAATCCATCTCATTCAGACCCCTGTTTTAGAAAGCATTAAGATAAATAACGATGATTACAGTAGTACAAATTATGACAATCCTATGCAGCATTACATTCCTTATTATCTTTAAATTATGGCAAATTTTCATACGAAGGAGAAAATTACCTTCCATAGCAATTTTCAGTTATGAATGATGTCACAAGAAATGTTCACAAATCAGTTCATGTTTCTCTAAGAGGTAAAATAGCTTTGGATTAAAGTATCCTAAATATATCTATTTTAGGATAACAACTTCAGAGAGCTATCTTATTGCACAAATTAAGTCATGGTACATTTGAATCTAAGCAATGCATTGGTCACTCAATTTCTACTGCAGGCAGATTAAAGTGGCAAATGTTTAGGAAGTCAGCAATTGAAGCTTTACCAAATCAGTCTAAGTCCTACACTTCATTTCATTATTCACTATTAAACTTCATTTTTGTCCTTGAATTTTAACAAAGACTGAAGTCAAAATGACTTAAGCTACTAAACGAAAATCTAAGTGCAAGCAACAAACTACTATATATTCAAAGGATTTGAAAAATTTCTATCGTATGTGATATTTTCTGAAGAGTCATGTATTATTTATTATTTGAGATAAATTCATGACCTAAATCATGACTGGTGCATGCAAGATATTAAAGAGGACTGAAAACATATGCGGCTTGGCTATGTGTAGATTTAAAATAGTAGATTTTATTCTAGCTACAAATTAAACCCACCTCACTGAAATTCTGAAATTCTTTAGGATCACAGAAAAACCTAGGTTTGAAGGAACCTCTGAGTGCCATCTGATCCAAGTCCCATATCAAAGCAAAGCCACAGTTAGATCAGGTTGCTCAGAACCTTGTCCAATAATGTACTGAGTATCTTCAAGGATCAAAATCTCATAATAACTCTGAAGACCCTACTGTCATGTTTGACCACGCTCATTGTGAAAAATAAGGGTGAAATATTTTCACATATCTAACTGGAATTTCCCTTGTAACAACTTGTTACCTTTGAGTAGATAGTGTTTGACATCATCATCTCTATAACCTTGCATTGAAGACAGTGGTAAAATTCTATTGTAGCCTTCTGTTTTAATACTGAAAAAAAATCTAGCCTCTCCTCAGACCCTCTTCTGGCATGACATGCATGCCAGTCCTCAAAGAATCTTAGTGGCCCTCCACTTGATTAACTCTTTTGCCAGTGTCTTCCTTACCACTGGTGAAACAAAAACTGGATGACGTACTCCTGATATAGTCTCATGATCACAAAATGGAAGGGGAAAAAAGTCACCTCCATCAACCTGCAGACTACATTTACTAATACAGTCTAGTGCACTGTCAGCCTTCATCATCACAAGGACACACTCCTGATTCATGTTCAACTTGCAGAATTAGAAGTTCTTTTCTGCATAGATGCTGTCAGACTCAATTTCCCTACTCCTGGGGTTATTCCATCCCAGGTATAGGACTTTGCATTTACCTTTGCTCAACCTCACAAGAGTTCTGTCAGCCTATTTTTCCAGCCCATCAAAGTTCCTCTCAAAGGCAGCCAAGCTCTCCAATTTATTGTTAAGGGTTCATTCCACAAAACTGCTAAGGATGCATTCTGTCTTGTCATCCAGGATGTGAACGGGATTTTTTTTCTTTTTCTTTTTGAAGTCACATAACTCTATAGATTTTAATTTATTCTGTTTTCAAACATACTTGATTTTACAAGTCATTAATTCCTTCTTCTTTGTTTCCTTGAGGTTTTCTTGTATATTTGTTTAGTTTGCAACTTGTTCATAGTCTCTTTATTCCAACATTAAGAGGACTAAATTATAATTGAAATTTTCAGTTGACAGATGGTGGCCTGCACCCAGGACATCTAACTGGCTTGCCAAGTGAGGAAGTGATTGAGTAACATTAAGGGAAACCTCTGGTTATCCATAATGTCTACTTCATTTGCTTCTGGACAAATTCTTCAAATAGTAGTACCTAGGCAGACCCTCCCTTTATCAATTAGAGAAAATTATCCAGCTAAAGGAGATGGAGACACTACAGAGGAGTTGAACAACGTGTCAGCAGTAGGGAAGAAGTGAGGAACTGGTAGTTTGTGGCACTGAGGCAAAAGCAAGAAAGGAACAAGAAAGCAGGAAAGTTGCTGGACTCACTGTCGTGATACGGAGGAAATGATCATTTGTCCTGAGATTCCTTAGCACTGGTGTAGGAATAAATCAGGAAGAATAAACAAAAAATTAGACTAACAATTGAAAAAGAGCTACAAGGTGAATCCAAGGAAAAAAGTAATTCTGTGGGAGAAGGCTGATGCAGCAGAGATTTTAACAACAAAACTATCTAAATACTCAAGTGTATGTTCTTGACCATGTCAAAGCATGGGTAAGAGGAAAGGAATGGTTATACTCTGAGGGAACAGAACCAGGGAACCAAAGAATACATTCGGATCCCATTTTACACCAACATAACAAGACTCTAACTGCCCATCTTACAGATTTCATTTGAAAAAAAAATCTATTTCAAGAGTCCTAGTTATTATACTTTTATGACCTTCTATTAATTGATGTATCACATGTAAAATCAAATGCTTTGGTATGCATTAACAGCTATGCATGGTTGACAGACATCTCCTGCTGCCTCAATCTCAAAGAAGGTAATGCAACTAAATATGTATTTTCAGTGAGATCACTGTAAATACTCTGTGTTTATATTAAGTCATGGTTGCTAAGAGATTACATGTACTTTCCTAAATATTGAAAGACGTTGGTAGTTCCGTTAAATAACAAAGGAAACATCAAAAAACTTGTAGAGGCTTAAAGATGCTTATCAAAATACCATGTTGTTTCTAATGTATACTTCAATAAGGCCCGAGAGATTTATCTGTATGTCATAAACACCCAAGAGCGCTTCAAAAGTGTTCTCAACAAAGAAAGAGAAGCAAAAATCAAAACAAAGGCAGATGGTATATGTAAAGTACACACACTGTGCTGCCTAAATGTTTCCAATTATAAAGAATTTCCATCTTTTAATGATTAGTCCAACATTTCTAAGAATGACATTCTGGAAATGTGATAATTACAATCAGTACTTCAAAAGATTTTATATATACTTAAAATATGCACATATTCACCCAAAGAAAATACTGAGAAGAGGACAATCTTTATTCACCCTGATATAGGCAATTACTGCAAACTCTTTGCCTATACCCCATAAAGAGCTTCAACCAGCTTTTTCAAGTTGACTTGTCCCATTAGTTAACACTGAAAACATTGTATTCCTAACCTGAACAGAAGCAGCTGCAAAGAGATACTAAAACTAATATTTGAGCAATTCCATTGGTGTTGCAAAGGACCATTCAGCTGCAGAAACTAAACTTGATGGTTTTTTTTCATTCAGCGGCTCTAAAGCCATTATGGAGGATATAAAAATGTTTGATGCCATACCTACATTTTGGTTTCTGGCTGAGAGTCTAGATATGTGGCAGGAGGGTTTTTTTCTCAGTAGTAATACAGAAATGTATATTTAGAGCTGTCTTCTAATATCTTAAGAGATGTTATTTGTTGACGCCAACAAAGTTACCTTTTGCAGATGCTAATAATCAATTTGTATAAATTTCTGAGTATTTTCACTACAGACACAGACTTGAAAACCAGAAATAAATTAAAACAAGTAAGATTTGACTCTATGCATGTACAGAAAAATTTGTTCATTAATACAATTTAGTTCACAAAAATGCTTAATGCCAGCAAAATTATAGTTTCCTATGTGCTCAGGTGTTTCACATACAATAAAATATGATAGCTATAGTGTATTGTGTAACTTACAACTCCATCATATAAAGATAAAAATACAGTATAAGTTATTTTAATTTCATTGACAGTGTAAGTCCCCACAGGCCAGTTTACTGCCAGACACAGCAACTGAAGCTAGAGTACAACTGAAGAAGCCTGCGCTTCTGCTTGAGCAGAAGCTAAGGATGAAATGCCCACAAAACAGCCACCTTGTCTCACTGCTTCACAGAACTCAGATCAACATTTTCTTAAAAACTGCATTAAAAAGCACTTTTACATAGATGTGTTTCAGTATCAGACCTCAGATTTATTTTCCCATGATCCCTACTGGCACTGCTGGCTGCTAATTTAGAAGTCTTGAATCATCTGCTTGTTTAATTACACTACTGTAACATTTTGTATTTACTATGATCACATATTTATTAAAAATATTACCCGTCTACACTATTTCAGATGGATCTTCATGAACATAAAAATAACAGAGACTCTGATTTACAGAATATATGATAAATGGTAATTATGTTAATAACTAACAGATTGCAGTTGCAGTAAGCAAAGGAAAATCATCATGGTTTGTGTACTGAATGTAAGCAAGTATCTCAAAAAAATATGTGACTTACCGAGATATGATTATACCATTGACTTGAAGGAATTTAAACAACTCTTGTGCCTTTTCACGGTCCCGTAATTTCTCCTTGGCTGTCAATGTGTCGTAAGGTACCAATAAAGGATGACTACCTCCACCTTTAGTAAGTTGAAAGAACTGTAAGTTTTTCTACTGTAAGATTTATTTTGCTTCAAGTACAAAAAGCAACCATTCAATTTTGATTGTCTTACACTGACTTCTTTCAGACTGTTTCTTCTCCCTCATTTTCCTCGTCTTGTTTTGTGTGGTTCACAGGATTCTGTCTTACCTTTGCTTTCCAACTCCATTTTCTTCTTCTTGGCCCATATATTATGGTAGTTTTCTGCCATTACCTCGACCATTCCCTACATCACCATCAGAAAAGACAAGATGCAAAATTAAAAGGTGACAATTAAAAATTTTGTAATTCTACATAATTTTATAGTCTTGAGTAAAGTCTACACTCTTGTGGTAAAAAACATCACAGTTTAGTGTCATTTCTACATTCAGCTACTACTTGAAGTCAGCACAGACACAGGATACGCATATATCACATGCTGTTGACAGCTCCTTTCCTAGGTTCACGATAACTTTTTCTAGGAACGCAGGAAGCAACAATGGCATAAACAGTAGAAATCTCTTCTTTAAATACACAAATAGCATGGCATGCACCTTTCTACAACAGCTTATCACAATCACAGTTCAAATACACTCATAAAATCTACAAAGTTCAACTCAATAATAATAATTAAAAAGACCTCTTAATTTGTTTCAGCACTACACATGTAAAATACAAATACAAACCTGAAGCTCCCTAGAAAGCACCACATTAGAGAGATCAAGTGGTGCTGGGCTATACCCATTTCCCTGTGAGGAAAGAAAAAGAGACTTGTTTTCAGATAAAAGTATTTCAGATAAAAGAATCAAATGTTCAAGTACAACATCTCTGCTGTTGATCTGATTAGAGTAACAACATTTATATTTTTAAACTTTCTAGTGGAAACTCTGTTCACCTTTTATTTTGCAATGTGCTGAAGACTCTAATAGAATACATCTGGTGATGTGGAAATAAGAAGGTTGCTGCAGATACTTGGATCTATTTGCAACAGATGGCAAGCTGCTAAGAATTATGCTTTTTGGACAAAGAGAGGAGACCAATCATGAGGCTTACAAGATGTGCCTTCAAAGCATGACAGAACAGTGTGGCAACAGCCTGAATGAACCATGCACTGAAGACAAGACATTGCAACAAAATGTTAAAATAAGTTATTGTCTTGTGGAATTTACAGACTAAAAAAAAAGGGGTGTGATATAATTATGCAGTCTTTAAATGTTTAAAGTGTGAACGCTCCAGTGCAGCAAATCTATTAGGCAGAAGTTAAATATGAACAGTCACATATAAATCAGTGATTTGAATAATGAAGTTAAACGTGCTGAAATCCTCTAATCAAACGTGTCTTTGTCATGCATCTTCTTGGGTAAGAAGGCCCAACTGCAGAACAGGTTCAACTGGCTGGAAGCAGAGATACTATAGACAGAAGGACTCCCTGTAATGGAGTGAAGTTTGCTGAAGAGATAAGAAATGCTCAAGAATTGTCTTGTAACAGAGTGCTCAGGGGCCACTTTTGGTAAACAAAACTTGTGCTGGGGGCTGAACGCAACACAAGATGATGCTGATGCTCACGATCAGTGCTGGTGCAAGTGTATATAAGGAATCCGCTCATGAGACATCTTTGCACACTCCTTGCAGAACTGCTTACAGCAGTAGGACTCTGCCCAGTGCATTGCTCATTAAATCTCACTATATTTAAGCACAAATGTATGTTAGATTCACCTCAAGGGGTACAATAAAAATTTCCAAATTTCCCAACACTTATCACAAACAGCTTTCCCCCCTTCAAGACACAGACGTGCTGAACAGCAGTCTCAACACGCTATTACAAGAAACTACAAATTAAAAAAATAGTCTTTGTCACATCAAAATGCTACTACATACTCTATAACTGCCTACAAATTTTGCCAGTAGATTTAACAAAAAGTATCACATATGCAATCTTGTCAGTCATAATTATAATCTTGACAAAAGCCCATTTCAGGCTCTTCTGTTTGACCAAAAAAGAAAGTTATTAGATTTACTTATTATAAAATAAAAAGCTTTAAATACTCTTTCATGTATTCTTTGAATGACTATACGGAAACTCTCTTCAGGTCTTCTAAGAAAATTAATAGATGTGCTCTCTGACAACCTTATTGCCTGAAAAACTGTTGTCTTTTTGCAATCCCTTCTTTAGTGTTAATGCACAGTTTTTATTATAATGACATGACTTCCAGTCTCAGAACTTGTAACATTAAAAGGTTCTTTTCATTAAAAATAATATAAAATGAACAGAATTTTGTATAAGTTCTTAGTAAATTGACAAACAAGCCTTTTGCTTCCTAAACTTAAGCAATTGCCCCTTACCTGGCTAGACTGAGATATGCTGCGGAGCTTTTCATTTTCACGCTGATGCATTACCGCTTCTCCTCCTTCCTTGGTCCTTTCCAGGCTCCATCCCATGGCCAACATGGTTTTCAGTGATTCCCTAGCAGGCCAACGATAAATTTCCTTTTCCTTTGAAGAAAACAATGTAAAATTTCTCCATAGTTAGCAAGTAGCAAAAACTCAGTAAAAATATTCCATCCTTCTTTATAAATTGGCACATGCCACGAAAGTAAACAAAATTTGTGTATTATATCTGAAGACATGATACAGTTCTTTTTACATGAGAAAGAAGCTTTAAAATACTTACAATTTTTTTGTTTTATTCTTAGTGGTATTTATTGCTGGGATACGTGTTATAAACTAACAGCACTCAAGTGAGCTCTGGAGCAATAATGTAGTTTGTATCTAGAAACTGATTTGTTGATTCCTCCAGCCCAAAATAATAAAAAATTTATGCCACTAGAAGTGCCACGAAATTAGTTAGGCAAGCATGTACATTTGAACACATCAGCACATAAGGCCTTTTTTTATATTTATATCCACTCATGGATACAGAACATTACTGATCTATACACCTCTTCAATATAAATACAGCCATTGATAAAAAATTAGCAAACAGCCTGTATTCCAACACTCCTTTCAAAAGTAAAGGTGGTAGAGAAAATCTGAAAGTTGTGGCAGTGAAAAAATCTGTCTATCACATTAAGACTTCTCAAATCAACCTAATAAAAATATTTCAGTTCTTACCATAAATAAGAATTTTATGACAGTTACTAAGCATGACAGTTTTTATGGAAAAAACTGATTTTCAGGTTCAAAACTTCTAATCTGAGACCATTCAGAAAATTATCTTTAAACTGCTTTAATAACAACTCAACCAGAAATTCTTCAGCTCCTCTACAAAGATTTCAAAGCAATATACAAAAGCTGGGAAATTAAACCTCTTGAATCCCTCTTGATTTTTGTCATCTCCATTTTCTGAACAGGAAAGTGTGGTAAAGAGGGACAAATGTAATTGACTTATTTGAGGCACCCAATGAATCATTGCAAAAATACATAACAGAATTCAAATTCAGTTCACTGTTCTGACAAGTAGAAGACATTCATGCCTAGTCAATAAGTTAAAATAAAAAATGCATTTAAAGTAGTTTAAATGTTTTTCCTCATTTGAACTGAAGCATCTCCTGCGCTTTCTTAAAATTTTTCTACCATCCTTCTTGAAGACAAAATTGCCTTCAGATATGTTAAATTACACTTTCATCTAAAGCCCAGGAGTTGCTGCCAGTCATTCCTCATCCATGAAGGCCTGAAAACCCTGTGCTATTGATACTTTGAATACAAATTGGCCCAGGCCTACGAAGACTGCATAACAGAAGCAAGTAATACAAGACTCTGTGCAAGATTAACTAAACAACCACTTCAGCATATACATGTTGCTGTTCTTAACTGTAAGAATCCTAGTTTGTCACTCTTCCTTTTCTAGCATATATTTGAAGAAGATTTTAAAAAGCACACAAATCAGTCTACTTTGTATTAATGCAGCTGAAATTTCCTCTTACCTTTTCAGTTAAAGTTTTGAAAGGTCTTATTAATGGGTGAGTCTTCGTATTTTCATCCAGTGAAACACCGTATTTCCATCCACTATTAGTCTGAAAAAAATAAATATACTGAATAAGATGAGAACAACATGGATGACTAGCAGCAAATTGGCTAGCTTAGTTTGTCATATTGAACTACTAATCTACTCCCATAGCTACTCAGTGTCACAGAAATTTCTCTTCAAAGAGCATGCATCCATCCGTGGGTACACCAGAACAAAACATAGCCCAGACAGATTAGATGCCATCTATGAGCAGTAGGTCTCATACAACCAGTTCTGAGCCTAATACACACTGGCCCCTTTCAAATGGACTCATGCATTAAGATGGTACTGGCTAAGGTAAAAAAGCTGTCTCTATACTCTGAGAGGCTAGAGTCAGCAACACAGAGAAGAAAATGTAACATTAGCAGATCAACCACTAAAGAACGTAACTTTACTGAATCTTTTACCTTAAACAATATTAACTGAAATTTATGGTTTGAGATTAATGTGTGTATATTTACATATCTGTATATATGTATACCTTCCTCTACAAATTTGCATACATAGCCCCACAAAACAGAATCGTTCTATGTAACTGTTCTATAAAATTAGTATTAATTTGTTATTAATTGTTATAATTAATTACTTAACCCCATCTCTGTCTTTTTTCAGTGAATTAAAGAGGTTTAAAATTCATACTTGGGTTGAATGAGTTACTCATATCCAAACACTTCTAACATAGGTATCAAAAACCGCAACAACTCCATCAAACGTAATTTTGTTCAAATTTACTTCTAAAAATTATATTTATTAACATTAAAATTTATTTGCAAAATGTAACACTAAAAAGGCTTTATTAAATGTCTCAGTGTAACATTAAAAAAATATTTAAAAATCACTTAGTATATATTGTCTTGTCTTATAGATATTTTGAAGTAGTGAAACAGAAACACAGTACAGTGACAGAGCCCTTGGAAAATTATAAAGGCAATCAATACATAACAGCCTTCTTAAAGGTAGAAAGAAAGAAAGAAAGGCTCTAACTACATTTTCTGAAATTAAAAAAAAAGGACATTAGACTTCCCAGGTACTCTCTTATATCACAGAGATGCTGCAGTAAAACTGAATTTCTGACTCCCAGCCAAAAAATGTCATTACCAGGCATAATAAAGCTAAGATCTAAAAGAAAAAAAAAAAAAAGTGCCCCTTTATCAATTCCCCTCAGATCTTTGTCCTAATAAATTCTGGTCACTTTGAAAAAGTGAAAAATTTCAATGCATTTTCTTGAGCAAAAGGTTTCTTTCACATATCCCTAAAGTAATATGCAGACATTAATGCACTCTGAACAAGGGCCTATCAGTTAAACAGTCCAATTTTTCTTTTGATATTCAGGTATTATTTACTAGTCCTTTTCTGACAGTTGCCAGTCTCTTAAAATCATTCCTACCTTGTCAAAGGCCCATTTATCATGGGAATGTTCAGCATACTTGCTAACAATATACTCCAACTTTTCAGGAAGAACAAGGCTGTAAACAAAGGGGAATATGGTCATTCAGTTATAAGTTCTGCAGTCTGATTTATGTAAAATGTGTCAATATAGTATAGCATTAATCATAATGCTTCACCTCCAGATGAAGGCAAAACATTTGGCTTTGTAATTCCATTTTCTTTTAGAAGAAATGTCACAAAGAAATCAGGGCTATAAAGACCTTTACAGGAAATTTTGAATACATAATATTTACATTTATTAGCAACTAAAAATCACAAGAAAAAAAACCTGCTTCACCATAACCTACAGGTATTTTTCTTGATAATTCTTAATACAGGATAATATTAGTAGGATGTTTCACATTGCATAATGATGGAGGGGTAAGACTTTAATAACAAGAATCAACTAGTAATCCTCAGTTCTTGAACTTAAGTGTTAGAAATCTGTATTTTAAAACCACAAGATTACTAGGAAGGCCAAGTCTCTATTAAATCATCATTCATGACCTGCTTATTTTGCTGTAACAGGTTGCTACAGATCAATTCTCAAGACTAAGTGAAGATTTTCCAAAAACTTGGGCAATAGGCCAATTGAATCACTTACCAGATTTTTACAATCTTGTACGATTTGTCATAAGCACACTCTAAATAATGACAGTATCAAACGTGCTACAGGTGCTTATATCCCAAACATCTGAACTGTTAAGTAATAGGGTACACAGTAAGTATAGAATTTACTATGTACTCTGCAGATATAATGGGGAAATATTTAACATCTGTACAGTTCTGAGAAGAATATGTTTTATAGCTGGTAAACAGGATATGTTGCAGTGAAATATTTGGCAGGAGGAAGGAAAAATTCCTACACTACTTCTGAAAGGTAGTAATATCATTAAAAAGTCAGTCAACAGCCAACTCTTCCTATGGAGGAAGAAAAAATATTAACAAGGAATAGTATAAAAATATTTCAGGAAAGCAAATCACTATGATTACAAGACTCACTTTGCTGTGCTGACAGGCTTGGGATCAAAATTTCCTTCTGGATCCACTGAAGTTTGTTTTTCCAAAGTTGACCTAATTCGTGTATCTAAATAATCAGGGGGCAAGGCACCAGCTATAGCACTTAGACAAGGCAAAGCCATTCGAAAGAGCTCTGGATCATACTTCTGCAGGAGAGATAGGAACTGGTTGGAAAATCGAATAGAAAAACATGCAAAATGTTAGTGAAAGCAAGCAGCCATATGCACAAAGATTAGAAGATGCAAACAAACAGTAAAGCACATTTAAAAACTAAGCACAGAGCAAAATTTTTGCTGCATAACATCTATTCTTCTTGATAGCAACTTCATAGACTTCTTAAGACTACTGAAATTAACATAAGAGTATGCTGACACTTGTAAAAGTATACATAGTGCAAAAATGACTCTTTAGTTTTCTTTGGGCTATTAACGCCTACATAGGAAGGGTCAAGTGTTGTTTGCCAACATTTGATAGGAGTACAATCATTTATACTTGTCTTAGTTCTAAAATGACTAATTGCTATCTTAACTGCAGAAGCCATTGTAATTTCTCCCTCTTTTCCCTCATCTATTCCAGTTTAAATCATGCTGGTTAAAGGCAATTGTGTTTTACTGTAGCAAAGTCAGTTCATTATTTTTCCAAAATGTCCTGCTAAGAGTTGAACTGGCACATTTTCTCCTCTAGTCATTTTAGCTCTGGAGAGAACATAGAAGTACTTGATATATAAAACTATAAAGTAGAATTAAATCTGAAGAATCTACCCTTAGTAACTTGCCACAAAACATATTAACGTCAATTGTTACACACTAGATTATAAAAAAAACATGCTACAGGAAGTAGCAGCAGATCACTGTAGGCCAAGGTTCTCCCTTCCAGCTCTCAAACAACATTCTTAGCATGTTTAGGGAAAAAAAAAAAACAACAAAACAAAAACAACAACAAAAAAAACCCACACTTCTCTTTCAGATTCCCCATCTGTAAAATGAGCGTAATGATATAGCTTTAAAAGGCTTTGAGATCTACTGATAAACACTATAATGCAAGAGTTTGATGCCATTAGAATTATTTAATAAATGTTTACTTAGATAGCACAGGCATCTTTTTGATGACACAGGCACCAATCAAGCACTTATAGGAAAAAGATTTTACACTGCAAAAATATTGTCTTGCTTCATTATTAGAAATAGAAAGACTATATGCTTCTATAAATCTGAATGACTGCCTTGTGTCAAGAAAATGCTGAAGAATAATTTTAAGGTCCATTGAAAACACTTACTGATAAAATTATATGTTTATATAACAGCAAGCAGAATGCCTAAAATTTTGAGGCTTTAACTTCCTCTAGTTTTGTTGCAACATTCTTTAGTGTGTATGGCACAAACAAAAGAATTTAGATCACCGGGTAAATTGCTTCCACTAAAAAGCTGGAAGCCATGAAAATACCATACCTGTAAATATCTCACTACAAAACAGAACAATGGAGAACCCTGTAGCCCAACAGATTTACACAACTCTCCTTTCATTGGACTAACAACCATGTACAGAAAAATGAAAACAATATTATGGAGAGCCACCAATGTTGGTGGAAACATATCATATTCATTTATTTGTAAAAAGGTAAGATGCACTAATTGGAAACATTCATTTGTGTTAGGCCCTCCTGACACTCTCTGCACTTGTGACAGCAGTAAGAGAGATAAATGTCACTAAAATCAGACACATATAAGGCTTAAAAAGCCATTTTGGAGTAATGCAGGGACCATGTTCCTTTCCATATTATAAACCAGAATGCCTAGAGAAGCAATCATCTAAATATTTTGATTAGAACTGGAACATAAAATTCAATGAGATGTGATGAAAAATGTAATTATTGTCCCATAGCGAGAACCTGATTTTTGAGCCCAATCAAGTACAAAAAGTATTTACTCAGTAAGATGTTTCTCTTATAAGAAATACAAAAACAAAAAAATCCCAAGATCACACTTCGGAACATGAAAATGGAAAAATGTTTATTTCTAAGAATGTTGCATCATATTTCTTAAGCTGGACAATAACCAGAAAACTAAGAAAATACAAGTGTACGTTTCAAAACCAATAATGTAAACCTACTGTTCATACACCAACAATTTGACAAGCATATACATACATTTCTTAAAATTAATTTAATGTCAGTAAAAAGTATTTTAAAAAGTTTATTAAAGCCAAAATAGGAGAGGAGACAACATTGACTTGTTAGTGCAGCAAGCAATCTGCCTCATTACTAAGTGTACGGCTGTTTGGGTATATCAAGACAAAGATTTTACACTTCATTAGTTTGGAGAGAATCTTTCAAGATTCAGCATTCAGTTCTTTATTAGAAAGTTACTTCATTAGGAGCACTCATTGCCATATCTCCCATATTAGGTGAAAAAAATTGTTAAAACAGGAACTTTCTCTAGTTGGCATGGCAAATTACCATTGCAATACAGTCATCCCATACTGTAATGTGAATTACAGTCATTACCTTATGAGATAAAGAATCAAATATTCCCCAGAAAAGTTTTTCAGTTAAATGTAATTCTTCTTCTGCTGCAATTCCATAGCTTCCCATTCCTGAAGGCAGACAATAATATTTCCAGCACTGCTCATAGTGATTTGTCAGAAGCTAGATTTTCAAGAAAATAAAAATGCATGTAAAACAATGGTATTTAAAAAAATAACATACTGATTAGTGAAGTCTGAATTGCCAGTATCTGTTTAAAGAGTTACATGAGTATTATTATTTATTTCTGTCTCGTAATTTCTAATGTCTCATAAAAATGGTCTTTTTTCCTTCTTTTTCTTTTGGGAGAGCTGTAGAGCCCATGCTGTGAAAGTATAAAGCCTGTATTATCCTCAGCTGCTGCTGTGGGATTCTCAGTGATAATAGTGAGCAGCAAAACTACAAAATTTCAGGATTGTCATAATTTGAGTACAGATTAACTCTGTAAGAACTGAGACAACAAAACAAGTGAAAAGACATCATAGATTCTGGTAAAAAGTTTTACAAATTCAAATTGATTTTACTTCTGTCATTTGTAGTTGCTGGCCTCAATATTATTCGAAACATTGCAAAAGACACCTACAGTAGACCCTTTTAGTTGTGCCTGCTCATCTGTGGAAAAACCTATGGAAAGAACCACTGTACAGACAATCTGTAACATACTAGTTAAAGAGCTGGCCTATATGATTATTGGTGCACTTTGCACATAATTTGAAATTTCTACTGATTTATTCTTTAGAACTAAAAATTCCTATCCTATGGGAAATTCTTCTAGCACCAGACTAGAATCTTGACATTTTAATTTTTCCTGCAATTTTGTTTAGGAAGGGAAAATAATAATTAAAAAAACAAATCAAACACCCCTTCTTCATCACTCTTTTGCTCCAAAATTACTGATGCTCCAGAATACGGCTGTGAATCTGGCAGCTCTGCTTTAGAGTATGACAGGATTCAAATTCTTCCATAAAAAGACCTGCAGGCCCATTTATTTCAATAGGAACAGGAGGCAAGCCTGACAGAGAAAATCTAAAAAAAGTTATTCTATAAATAGGGAATTACAATTGTGAGATGATAAATAAGAAGATGGATAAGGCTTCAGCTAAAGATTGCTCAAAAATACAAGGCGAATTCTGTTCCCTGTATCCTGTTCTCTGTAGACTTCACTCAAAATTTATTCCTGGACTATACATCCTACCAAGAGTTATTATAGTTCATACAGCAGAAGAAGAAATATCAAGGTAATGCTAACATTTGATTTGATATTTTAAAATACTCTTTTGCTGAAGCAGTGAAATAGTCAACAGTTAACTGAACAAAATCACATAATCAACTTACTATATGCTATTTGAATTAGGAAAGATTTTGCAAAACCTTTGATCATATTCAATTTGAAAGACTTTATAAAACAATAACATTTTCAATTCAGAAGTCATTTCACATTGCTTCACCCTGCCCCATTTTGTTTTCAAAAACATGATGATGACAGATTATTGTGAAGTAACTTTTACACTGAATGCATAAACAGAAAGTAAAGCATTTACCTTGAGAGGCATTTTACAGTATTCATTGAGTAGGGGCACATCAAAAACTAGCCTTCTCAACAGCTGCTGTAGCATAGAGGGACGTAAGTGGCTGTAATTTACAAAAAATAGAAGTTCTTAGTAAAATTCATGCAGTCTAGTAAAAATGAAATAAAAATTAATCAGTTTGCATATTGGAATTCATACCACTCATTAAAAGCATTTTGAAAAACCAATGGTAGGTGCTTAAGGAATCTCACTATGCCTCATCTACGTATATGATATAGCACAGAAAGATGTGCTACTTCTGGACTCTCTTATGTATACAGACAACATGTATGATTGTGCCATAGGATAGCAGAGTGAAGGGTGCTGGGTTTTTCTCAGAATACACAGAGGAGACAATCTAAGCACAAGAAAGACAATATTACCCCTACAGAATGGTTTCTGATATGACACTAAAAAGCAACAAAACACTCCTACCAGAAACTGATCTGGGAAATACATTATGATTATTCTTGTAAGAAATAAACCTCAACTGGAAGACTGAATAAATTACCCAACACTGCTTTTCCAGCTTGTCCTGGGTTAAGCTGAGACAGAGTTAACTTTCTTCATAATAGCTAGCAAGAGGCTGTGTTTTGGATTTGTGCTCAGAAGAAAGCTGATAAAAAGTGATGCTTAGGCGGCTGCCAAGGTTTTTCAGCTTCTCTGGCTGTCTGCAGACCGGAGAAGCTGGAAGGGAGCACAGCCCCAGTTACTAGCCCAGGATTTGATCTTGGGTTCAGGACTGAGACCCAAAGTAGCCAATAATCTATTCCATAACATACACGTCATGGCCAGTATATAGGTGAGGACCCTCCGGAAGATCAGCCCCTTTTGGTTCTGATCTCTTTTGCTCCGGGTCATCTCGCTCCAGGTGGTCGCTCTCTCAAGGCCTTCCCCCTCCCCACCTCGTTCAGCTCTCACTCTGGGACGCTTGGACTGTTATCTCTGTTCCGTGAGTGCAGTTTCGAGACTCTCCCTGCTCTGGGATCGTTATCCGGGAACAGGCTGAGCCTTGGTCATTGGGTGGGGGGGCAGTATCACTGTGTATCACTCATTTGTATATCTGTATACAGTATTATTTTCAATATTATTGCAGTTTAGTTATTAAATTGTTCTTATCTGAACCCATGAGTCCTTTTTTCCCTTTACCCCTTCAATTCTCCCCCCTATCCTCAGGTGGGGGGGGGAATTGGGTGAGTGGGTGTGTGGTTTGGCCCCCAGCCAAGGGCAAACCCATCACACATCTATTTAATTTCAGTGATCTACAGACTAAAAATCAATGGAAAAATGCTGATTTTATATCTCCCCCTCAGTCACTATCAATGGAAAAATGCTGATTTTATATCTCCCCCTCAGTCATTATTTTTTCAGGCTGAAGATTCCTGGTCTCCTAAGCTGTTCTAAAGGAGCAAAATTATTTCTTATGTTGATCCCTCTTGTTAAGCTTTTCCAAATCTTTTCCATTTGTACTATATCCTCTTTTTGGCAGGGGTCCAGTGCTAGGCACAAACCGAAAATGCACACTGTACTACTAATTTCACAGTCCACAGCACAGACAAGTAGTACTACAGTTTATGACAAAGATCAAGAATTATGACTCAGTTGGAAAATCTACACTTCAATTCCTGACATAACTCCAGTGCTCAGTTCAGTTTTAAGATCAGTTTTAGGATTTGGAGAATGGAGGGTAGATTTTCTTCTTATTTTTTAAAAAAACTATGGCCAAGGTTCTTCAAATACCAATCAAAAATACAAGCACTTGAACCCCTTAAATCCCCAACACACACTCATGGTCAGACTTGCCGCAACATTTTTGGTAATTACTGGGGTTTTGTTTTTACAAATAACCAGAATTTATCCTGCATCACCATAAAGCTTGTATCAACATGACAGTTTGTACAATGTAGTACCCATAACAGGAAAAATCAAATCTATTTTCTCTCAGGAAAAGAAAGAATCCTATCATACACTCTGGTCATTTATGTCACGCAAGAATAAAATAATCTTAGTTCTACATTATACAGAAAGAAAGAAATTATTGAAATATATACACTGTACAAAAGAAATCAATTTGTACACAGGTATCATACATACTGGCAAATAGCAAGCAGGCATTCTTCAATAGTGTCTCTTTGTGCTTTTGTAAGAGAACGTCCCTTGGATAACCTATATATTGTGTGAAGCATGGAGTCAACCAGAGAGGCGTGATGCTCTGTTCCAGAAAAGAGGGGAGCGCATCTTTTGAGTAATGGAAACACAGCTGAGCAAATGTATCTATTCAGTGCGAGAGCTGCCTCTGTGGTACTTAGAGAAACCTGTATGAAGTAGTAAATGATTGTCAGTATCATATGGAACAAAGGTTACTAAACATGAAGTCTATAAAACATAACAAATACACCTTAAGTCCCCTTAGTGTCTGGGTGCTAACATGATATTCCCAGTAAATACGTGAGGACAAAAGCTATTTTTTTTTTTTAACTTGAGAAAATCTAAGTCATCCACTTATCTCCTATCTCTTGTCCCACTGCACTCTGAACCAATAGGAGCAAAAAAGAATACGCAGTGTCTTTCTTTAAACAGGTTGGCAAAAACCACACAAAGAATTAAGTAGCACTTTTCAGCTCACTTATTTTCTTCATACCTACATGTATATGAACTTTCAGTGTAATTCTTGGAAGCACACATGAAATAAAAGTAATCATTAGGCCTAATACAGTATATCCAATGTACTTACTGCATAATTAATGTAAGCTTGTATTAAAAGGTTTTAAACTGCATTACACTGTTGCTTCATAAGGTGGTACTGAATGCTTATGATTGGACTTAAGCACTGCAAGCTAACAGTAACTGAATTATTACTGGTTGTGTTTATAGTGAGCCTACACTACCCCTTTTTAAAAAAAAAAAAAAAAAAAAAAAAAAAGAAGAAAAAGCTGTTTTGACTTGAAATTCCATTTCTTACACTTTCAGAGCCACTGCACCTAAACTCCATAGCAAAATACTTACTGTATCCAAAGAGGCAGAGGCTCTTAAATCTGGTAAAAATCCAACTTCCAGTAGGTGAAGGAGGAAACTTTGGTCTTTAATACCATAGACACGGTCCAAGAAGAGTACCATGGGTGCTTTATGATCAGGACAGAAATTTGCAGACATGTCTGGCTCGTTTACTGTGCCATCTACACAAACATATAATGCAACTTTAATAGTAGATAACTGATAAAACCAGAAACACCAAGACAACTAAAGACACTATAATTACATTTAATGTGAAAAATCACATGTTCAATTAAAATTACATTCTTGTTCAGTTTTCTTGTATGCTGAAAAAAATACTCAGTTTTTATTATTTCAAAACCCCTATTATTTTGTAATTTATTAATCTTTAAAATGAAAGCTCAAGAATAAATGGTAAAGTTTTCTATGTGTTTCATTACTATTATGGAGAATGTTTATATGGTAAAATTAAATATTACTACAAGTATTAAAATGATATAGTAACTGTGAAGTCAAAGGAGGTTAATAATTTTAATTTTTGTCTCATGCAAACTAGAATGGAAAGCACATGGAATCCAAAGGGAAGATAACAACACAAAAGTTACCTGTGATAAACCGTCTCTGACTGTAAAGGGGAATAGACAATTCTTGTGAAACAGAAAGGACAAAAGAAGGAGGGGAAGGAGGATAAAGTTATTTTGCCTTAGAAGAAAATGACAGACTGGTAGTTTATAACCCATGGAACAAGGAGAAATTAATAGGAAACATGGAGATCATATGCCATAAAAACTTAATCCTCTGATGAGTTTATGCTTTATAGAAAATTTCAGTTTGTATGGTTATCTTGCAAGTTATTTTCTGGAAATAAATCCACTCTGGATAACCACAGTGACCGCTTCTAGGAAAGAATCAACAGTCATGTAACAAGCAAAAACACCATTGTCAGTATACCTCTGCACTCTGAATTCTGATTTTGGTTTTTGAGTTCCAGAGTGAAGAGGGTGAAAACTCAGGAGTTTCCACTGACTTCCCTTTAACAGGTAGTGTTAAGAAGGCTGTTAGTTCCACTGACAAAAACTCAATTTCAACCTCAAGGACAGGTAGGGATCCAGGTACACATGGGCACCTATACAGTTTGATGCAGAGAGAGCAGCAAGCCCATGCCATGACCTAGGTTCAGGTTTTCTATGTGTACACACAGTACACAATGTTTGGGTCTTCACAAAGTAGTCACATTCCCCAGAGGTGAGAACTGAGAATCAGAGTAGTGAGAGAAACAGATAGGTCCTACAACAACACCGCAGCATAGCCTCAACTCCACAGTGCCAATCCTTGAGGTACGGACGTAAGTCTTGGAGAAGGAGCGTATCTACCTGGGAAGGTAGGACCTTATCTCTTAAGAGAACCACTCCTGCACCCTGTGCCAGTATGTCCCACTGCAGATAGGATTCTCCTGTGGTAGACAGGGTCCCTAAGGATATGAAGAAGCAGGCAGTGGAAGTGGGAGATTGCTGTATTAGGCACTAAACTGGGTGGCTTTATGATGTATAAGAGGATTCCACAATAACTTGTCTATACCTTATAGAAGGACCTTGTGGGAGGCAGGCAGAGATCTTGAATCCCAAAGGATGGGTGAGATAGTGGTGTGGAGAAGAGGGATTTAGTTAGATGGATTACAAAAGGGGGAATTATTTTGAGACAAGACGAACAAGCACAGAAATAGCCTGCACCTTAAAGAAATCAGGCTTCTAGAATTGAACATCAGAGGTCAGATTGGAACATTATACCTAGAAATTGGGGAAAAGACTAGGTACAGAGGAGCACCTTCTTCAGATCAGGACAATCCCAAAGTGAATATGTCTGGATTTTATTTCCTTTGAAAAGGCCAGGGAAGAAATAAACACCACAGTTCCGAGAAACAGGAAAGGCAATTAAAATGCAATGTGCACGTGCAACATTTTAATGAAGCAAGGACAAACAGGACTCTATACTGAGTCACCAGTGTCCTGGAGAAGGAAGCAAGTTTACTTGCCTAAAAGTCTGTATACAACACTAAATCCTTCCATATGATTAAATCATTAACAAAACTGAGTGGGCAAAGTAGAGACAGCTGCACTTCAGTGCTGACAACTCTAAGCTAATGGATCTGCAGAAAAATAAGACATGCCCACATGATGCTGAGCTTGGAACTGACATTACAAAGAGGTCCTGAGGTCATCACTGAAATTCTGTGAAACCATCAGCTCAATGTGTAGCAGTGAACAAATAAGTCAACAAGATATTGGGCACCATCAGAAAGGGGTATTCAGAATATGAGAGAGGGCATCATTTTGTTGCTATATAAACTAGAAAATTAATACATAAACTATTGTGTGCCACCTTATCAATACAACCTGTTCACGTCTTGTGTAGGTTGCACAGCTGCTGCCATATCTCAGGACTGCAGAACAGAGATAGTGAAGGTACACAGAAGGGCAAGTAAAATTATTCAGGCAATGGAGTAGTTATCTCTGATGAGAGACTAAGAAAAGTTGAGATTCTTTAATTTGGCAAAATGAGGACTTTGAAAGGATATAACTGAGATTTAGAAAATGATTAATATAGCTGACAAGGTGAATGAAGAACTGCTATAAACCAAACCCCAAAACACTACAACCCAAGGGCGTTAATTAAAATTGGTAGAGCATAAGTTTAAAAAAAGAGATATGCTTAATGTAGCAAACAGTGAAGTTCTGGAATTTACTGCCACAAGAGTTTGTGGCATTATTCCAAAGGTATTAGAAACATTCTTGGACATCAGGTCCAGAAACACAAAACAGATATTAATGGGCAGGGAAATACATTCCAATCTTTCTAAACAAATGACTGGATGATATGGAAGTACAAAGGGACTGAGACCAAGCTTACACATTTTACTTAAAGAGATACCACCATCTCTACAGGCACGGCTAAAGACAAAATACTGGGATGGACAGCCCATTAGTATGATCTGTAAAGTATTGCTTACGTTCTTACACTCTCTGCACCACAGGAGTAAGTATCTGTTCTACTGGAGCAGCTCTAATTGATATTCTCTGCTTGTACTCAACTCTAAGAAACTGCTCTATTTTACACCTGAAGACTTATACGCCAGAGGATGTTTATAAAAAGATGAGCTTCTATAATAAAAGTATTGAAGTTACCTTTGTTAACTGTTGACAGCTTTAATGGTATACTTATAATCCCAACCAAATCTTCAGTTGGCACTAGCGATCGAAGGATTGACCTGATTCGAATAGCTTCCCCTTTTCCACTTTGAATAAGCTGTTAGAAAAAGTTTATCCATTAAGAAATTTAGTATTGAAGGATATAAGAAAAAATTTCCTCAAAATAATGATACTAACGTGATTTTTTTCAAAAACTGTAAAAAATACGCAGAAATTCAGTTTATCCCACCATGCTAATGGAGTTGCTGTTTTTCATCTGATCCTACTTTTGAAACTGTCTCAATTTTGTTGTCAATTTCACAATCTTATAAATTCCCAATTTTTTAACACCCCCCCCCCCCCCCACATGGATAAAATTCCTAAACCAATCAGACAAAGTGATGAAACTGTAAATTCCTGAAAGACTCATGTTACTTACAGACCCTACAGTGCCAGGTTTTGAGCTTGTCTCTTTATCCTCTCTGAACAGATGCAAACCTGTCTGATGTATTTATGCATTTTTTCTATTATTTCTGTGCAGTAAAAATTTCAAAAGGCATTAACAAAGTGACCAAGTTCTTTCAACTTCTATCAGAAACTAGGTATTTACAACCTGGGTCTCTGAAAACCTCTCCCAGTATTTTTTTTTAACAAGAAATTACTATCTCTGGCAACCGAAAGCTACATACAGTGCTACAGTGTCCTGGGTTAAGCTGGGACAGAGTTAACTCTCTTCATAATAGCTAGCAAGAGGCTGTTAATAGCTTTGGTAATAGTAAGTAGGGAGGCTACAAGCCAAATTTCTTGCTTCTTGTTGTAGTGAGATACATATTGCATTTTCAGCTGGATTTATGCTACTAAAGAATTTTAAATACTGACAAGCAAAAGTCAGTCTAACCAAATCCAATTCTTGCATGTTGCTGTTACAGGCATTACAGTGAAATCAGTTCTTTTACATATTTTTCCATGTATTCATGTGGTGTAGATACCACATTTCATCAGTGCACACAAAAGCAGCTCTGTATCACATTCTTATGAAAATGATTTTTATGGCTTTCTAGAGAACAGCAAAGGGACAGTTTTACTGGTCAGAAATTTCATTGACAGTATAAAAGTGCAACACCTAGCGGTTCATCTTTGCTTTGATTCCATAGTCATATAAAAATTCTCAAAATTTTAGACAAATAAAAAAGCATAAGGAATCAAGAGACTATGATTCGCTATTAACAGCTTGCAGGGAACACATCTGTCTAGATACAGTGAGAAATGCAATAAAGTCCACCTTCTGAAGGGAAGAAGCCTTTGAATGGAGAACAGTTTAGCTGGACATGTACAGTTCTGTTTACAAATCTACACTTTCTGAGCAAGTGACAAAATGAACTTACATGCAGTTCTGGGGCACAGCGTCCAAGTAAATCTATGAGAGCTGAGTAAAATGACATGATTGCATTGCCCATGTGCACAATCTCCTCCTCCTCATCATCACCATCACTAAAAGGTAAACAATACCAGTGAGCACTTTTGCTAGTGTAAGTTTATAGCTTCTCTCTGGAGCTAGATCTATGACCCAGAAACAATTAATCAAATATACTAATTTCCTCTGGCTCCAGATTACAGGGGTTTTATCCCTAGAGTAAGCATGCAATTGATCAGTAATAACTAACCTCACATGAGCCTTCTATTTTCCTCTTTCACTTTACCTTAGCTTCATTGCACATCTGCCTGCTTCTTTGCTTTGTCTATCAGGCTTCTTCTCTTCTGTACCTCTTATTCCACTTTTTTCTAGCTCATGCTTCCATATGACAACTGCTTGTGGGTGCAAATCTCTAACATTCTACGCTTGTATAATGCTTTACACAACAGGGCCCATTAGCCACACATTGCAAGCATAATTAAATCAGCTATTAAATTAACATTTGCCAAACAAGCATTCACATTAACTTACCCTTCTCTTTTATATGCCTGGGAGGGAAGGTCACGAGCAGGATTCTCTGAGATCCTGATAGCTTCCTGCATAGCTGCCAGCAAACCATTTCCTCCTTCTCCCCTAAGGTCTGGTCCAAAGCACTCTGGCCGTCGAATAAGGAGCTTAACAACAACACTTGCATTTTCCTCAACACTTTCACCTGAGGACCAGAAAGCACTATACATACTTTCTATTCTTAAGTCAGAAGACAACCATATTTTCCCCCAAAGATTACAAAATATGAAACAAATCCTCATCCTTATTTTTGAAAACAAAAATGTACCAAGTTGGCAGCATTGTATGTGCTTTATCAAAAAATATACTGACATTTGAAAGTGACAGTGTAGACTTGCCTTGCGAAAGCTTTACTACACTTAATCTAGAAAGGTTTGCTTTAGAAAGTTATTTTGCTTTTTATGGTAAAGACTACTCTCTTTCGTATGAAGGCTAATAGTCCCGAGAAGCAAGAAGTCTGCTACTGGGGTGTCATGCAGGAAGGAAATTGTGACTCCAGACAACCACCCCAGCCTCTTGCTCTCTCACCTCTCCTGCAGAACAGGAAGAAAATAGAAGGAAGGTGTGACAACTCATGGATCTACTGGATGCGTGTCTAACAGAGAAAGCAAAAGCTATGCATGCAAGCAAAGCAACAAGACAAATTAATTCACTGCTTCCCAGGCAGATGTTTACACAGTTCCTAGAAAGCAGGGTGTCAGTATGCATAATGGTTGTTTGGGAAGACAAGTGCCATAACCATGAACATCAGCTTTTATTGCTGAGCACTATGTTATGATATGGAATATCCCATTGGCCAGCCTGGGTCAGCTGTCCCAGCTGTGTCCCCTTCCCAACCTCTTGGACACCCCAAACTTACTCCCTGGGGCCAGGGAAGGAGGAGAAGGGGCAGAGTGGGGAAAAAAATGTGAAAGCCTTCATGTTGCACAAGGTTAAATATACCTAGCATAAAATCTCCTGATTATTTCTACTGCATGTTTAAACACTTGTTAAGTCTTCTGCTTGCTATTTAAAGGCTGAAATTGAATTTTTTGTCTTTTTTCTATATAAAAATCACATTAAAATCAGTTTTAAAGGTCACTGCTTGCCTGAAACAACCCCATTTATAACAGCTTTGTGTGGAAAAATGTATATATATTTGAAAATGGAAAAGAGTGGGTTTAACTGTTGTATAAATTCAGTACAGCCAGACAAGTTGTGACCTAGATGCTTGCTGAATAAAAGTCATTAGGAAAAGGGACCTTCATACAAATGAACTCTTTGTATGTAACTAACTGCTTCATGGACTGCAGTTAGGGGGACGTGGAAGTATGATAGTAATAATAATTGGGTCAAAAACTCTGCTTATGGTTAAACACAACTGTTTAGAAACCCACAGTGGCTACCTTATAAGACTACTGTTAATCTGTAGGAAGATATGGAAATTAATCGGGCACACAGGAAGAATGCAAATTACCAGAGAAGAAAACACAAGTCGCTGAACTTGTGATGTCAGTAGCTTGGATCACCAGTATCTATATTTTACATGCAAGCTACAATACTAAACTAGTACAGAAATGCAAGTAGCAAGTTTATATTAAACTGAATTTTGCAGCTCTAGCAGCCACCAAAAAGTAAGATTAGAAACTGTGGTTTAGCTGAGAGCAGCAGTGGTGCTACCAGGAAGTCAGAGTCAATCGAAAGCAATGGTAGGTGAGATAACTGAGACTGACTGGCTCTAGAATCATAGAAGGGTTTGGGTTGGAAGAGACCTTAGAGATCATTGAGTTCCAATCCCCGTGCCATGGGCAGGGACACCTCCCACTAGCCCAGGTTGCTCAAAGCCTCATCCAGCCTGGCCTTGAACCCCTCCAGGGATGGGGCATCCACAGCTTCTCTGGGCAACCTGTTCCAGTGTCTCACCACCCTCACAGTAAGGAGCAGCTAAACACTTTAAACATGTCAAACTTGTGTCTTTCCCACTTAGAAGACCAGTACAATCTTGATCTGGAATACGGGAGGAGACGAAACAGCCTCAAGTTGCACCAGGGGAGGTTTAGATTGCATATCAGGAAAAATTTCTTCACTGAAAGGGTTGTCAAGCATTGGAACAGGCTGCTGAGGGAAGTGGTCAATTCAGAAAAAAAAAAACAAACAGCTGAAACACTTGAAACTAAAACTTAATTCTACTGAGTAGCAGTCCATCCAGCAAAGTTTACTCTTTATACTAAATAAACTATTGCAAGTAAGATCAAAGTTATCTTCATTTAGTTATACAGAGTACTATTAATGTTTATTTATAAAATCAACAATGAAAAACACACACTTTATTAACTCAATGACCACTTTGTTCTACATTTCTTATATCATAGCAGTTTGTCAGGTTAGTTTAGCAGCTTGCTCAATAGCTACAGGCTTATCAACCAATGAACATACTTCAGATACGTTTACTGAACTGAACAGTAAATATGTTTATTTTTTCTGTTTCAGGTATTATTTGCTAATTTCAGATCAATACTATGTGAATAAAACTACCAAAATCTAAACATGTGACTGTTTAAAATTATTTCCCTCTGTCTGCAGCTGTCCTTTAAAACACTTTCCATATTGGCAGACCAGATAGGTGGTGAGCAGACAAATCTTTTGATCTCATCTAATCTCTAATCTAAATTTCTAGCTTGATTTAAAAAATACACATGAACTGGAAGATACTTCTTGATTAGTGGCATTCCAACAATCTAAATTTTATTTTATCATACTTGTTTCATAAATTTCAAAAGGAGATTGCCCATAGAAGCAAGCATAAGATAGTTATCAAAGCAGAAGATTTTTTTTCTAAGACATCAGATTTAAGGTACACAGTCTAGGTACTTTAAAAACACTGATCCCTCAGAACTGTGTAAACATGTGACCTATCGGAAATTTGCTTTTTGTAATGCAAAATGGTTTAATTACAAGCCTCTAAATCTCACAGTAGTATAGTGGCCAAGAAAGGTCCAAAATCAGTGCTCACTGGTCATGTTTATAACCAGCATATGTGATATGTATGAATACTGGAGTTTACTTTCTGAAAGAATTCCTAACACAATTTGCTGCCATAACAGTTTACTCTATTAAACTATGAAAGTTGAAAAACAGTAAGGAAAAAATGCAACTAACTATGAAGATTCAAAAAATCACAATAAACAGCATATACCAATAATTTTGTATTTGTAATGAGAACAGCACGCATTAACCTCTCTTCATCGTTTTAACATGTTTCTATGGTTAGAAAAATAATTTTAAGGAAAACTTTTGGTGGAATGCGGATGCCAAGAAATTACACTTACTGTTAACAAAAACTGCAAATCTTAAGAACGACAGGTAACGTTCACCCTCTATTGGATTCCATCCAATGTCTGGATATCCTTTGGCCAGCAGTACTGGACAACTCTGCAGGCCACAACCCGCCAAGTAGGTAACAACCTACAACACAAAAGCAATCATTTATTCTTGTGTTTAGGAATAAATTTCTAAAACTAAGTATGAAACAGAATGAAAATAATATTTTTTTAATAACAAGATTTTTATATACCAGGTGTTTCACCTGAGAAACTACCATAGCTCATTATTGCATCAGTCTTTGTTTCTAGTTGTTTTTTTCAATTATGATGAAAAAGTCAAGCAAGCATACTTTATTTCTGAAGTTACCTAATTACACAATGACACAACAATACAACAACATGAACAAATATGGAATGTGAAAAGTAGAATAAAATATTGTGGAATTCAGATTTCTTTCGCAGTACATAAACAACAATTAAAATGCTATTTAACAACTTTAAAAATCACATCAATAACTATGTATGGCTAATTTGATACAATAGCAAAATAAATATTTAATCAAAAGTTTATTTATTGCAATTCCAATTTTAACAGATATGCAAACAATTGCATTTTTGAGAAGACTGATAAATATCAGTGAACAGTTTTAAGAGTATGGATAACCAGAAAGATTAAAATTTTTGGTAATATATAAATTCTTAACACAGCATCTCTTTGCAAGAGGAACATCTCTAGCTAGGAGAAATCTTTGAGAAATGATGACACATTTAATCACAGTAAACTGAATTTCTGAAACATATACAGAATGATTTCTCAATCATTTAAAAGGAAATTTGCAGATAACTGCACAAATGTGATTTTTTGTTTTAATTTAAAATGCACAAAGGACAACATACGAACATGATTATAGTACTTAAATATATTTTGAAATAGGTAGCGAACATCAAGAACCTTTAATGAACCTGGAAAAGAGATGCAAATGATCATTCCTTACAGTGGAAGGCAGTCAAAAATAGGTGGCAAATGGGAGATAGGCTTTTCTGTTTGGAAAAAGGAGATTTGTTATTCTGCTTAAGCACCCTATAGCAATTCCACCATCCATTAAATCATATTTAGTCATTATCTAATGCCCTAAGAGAGAAACTAGTTATGAACGCAGGAAGAACAACTATAGTTCTGCTGATTACCTCCAAAGTCTCCAACAGAGGAAAAACAGGCTGATGGGAAAAATTTGCTTATTATAGTATGCAGTAAGGAAGGTACTCAGTGCACTCAGTGGAAAAAGTACGCAATCCTAACAGGACTTGACAGTTTTCTAGTATTCATTCAGAAAATATGAGTGAATACACAGTCACAGGAGTCTAGAGATGCAGCTCATACAGAGTATAAGAAAACCAGTAGAATAAATATCTTCTCTTTTTTTCTGATTTTATAATACTACCACCAAACCCCATAATTTTATTCTATTCAGTTTACTACAGTATGTCATCAGGCCATGGGATATTTTTCTTGTGCAATCCTCTGCCTTCCACACATTCACACATTTCCAGTAAAAGGGATCAAATATGAAATGGCAAAAGTTCAAAAGTTAAGGTGTCTGCATGTAATTTATTTCCTTTGAACAAAGGCTTTATGGTAGAAGCATCAGTCACAGAGAAACGCTGCATCATCATCTGAGTAGGGTATGCATGCCACATTGAAATTATAGCTATACAGTTTTTTCTTCTTGTTATTCAGCATATAGATTTATTTACTGAATAACATCTACATACTGCACTAGATAAAGTTATTGACTCCACAAAGTTATTACAGTACAGCCAATACATAACAATTATTACAGCTAAAATGACTGATGAATTTGGGAAACTCAGTCTGAGATACATACAGCCTGATTTTTCACCATAAAATACTGTGTATTGTGCTGTTGATATCTGCTACTGTTTGAACATTGAGCACTTGCACGGTACCAACTATTCCAAGGTAAGCAATCAGTAAATGAGAAACATGCAGTTAATGGTCTACAGTGAAATTCAGTTTAAATGACTTGCCTTATGATACTTTACAGGAAAACAAGAGACAGTCACTAGTGGTGTATCCCAAGGGTCCATACTGGGGTCAATACTCTTTAATATCTTTATTAATGACAGGACAGAGGGCACTCTCAACAATTTTACATTTGATACAAAACTGATAATTCTTCTCAATGTTACCTTTATCTAGTTAGTGTATTCCTGTGCTCTCTCACACCCTTTCCATTCATATTCTTGTCTGTCTTCTCCTAGCTATCCCCATGATAAGTTCATTTATTTCCATTACTTTTCCTCTCCTACAGCATACGCTGATCGAAAATGCTCCCACAATGGTTCTACTGTCATCACAGGATTCTCCCATACTGCACAGAGGCTCTTCCTGCGCTAAGCTATTGTTTAGGTGCTTAACTGTTCTCTTACTTTCCCTGCTTTCCTCATGTTCTGACTGCACCCGTCTTCTATCTCTTAATCTGATTTCCTTCCTGGATATACAAAGAAATTTCATGCCATTTTTTAACATTTTTTTACCCATCATTTCTAATTCATCCTGCCTCTCCTCATGTTTCCCTTTATTTCTATCAGTTGCCAATGACCTGAGTCCTGGATGCAGTTTCCTACTGCAACTATCCTTAAACTACCTGTTCCAACTTCCCTTCTTCAGATACCTGCCCTTTCATTCTCTTAGCTCTTACCTCCATCCCATTAATCTCTATGATTTATTTAAGCAAAAAGACCTGCTTCCTTTTTTCTTCACATTCTCCTCTTAATTCTCAAATTTGCTCCTCCCCAAACAATGTTTCTTGACAGGCTTTTCTCCTGTTTCACATCTTTTTTCTTGTCATCCCTTCTATCCAGTAACAATAGTGAAACGATACAGAAGATAGAAATAAATCTCTTTTGCTGTGATTCCCACTGAGCATAAAGCAAAATCAGGGAAAATACTGCTCATCCTTGAGACAGCACATACCTATAACAAGTATTTCTGAGATCATATCCAAAAATTACTATGATCAAACTTGTCCTTTTCCCTTCTAGCACAAGTACACTATTTAATAAATGGGTAAATAGGTCAAAGTGATAACTTACCTTATCGAGATCTGGCTCCTCCAATGCTAGTGCAAGCTCATTGTTGTCCATTACAGAGGCTGCTGCAACATCTAGTGGTGTCGAACCTCTCATCGAAGGAAATGCTGCAGAAGAAAGTCAATATACCATAACTAAATTCAGTTTGCAGTAATCACAGTAATTCAGCAGAGGGCAGCAATCACACTGGAATCTATAACATTAGTATATTTTATGGCTGTTCTTCAATCAAGAACATGGTTAACTGTTTTGAAAAATGTTAAAATAAAAGCTGAATTTTTTTTTTTCTGACTTGACATCCGTATCTCTAAACATACTAGCCACGCTAGTTTGAAGTGCAGATGAAGAAATCAGTATTAACAACACAGCAAATCATAGGAATATTATAAAAGAATCACAGAATGGTTTGGGTTGGAAGGGACCTTATAAATTGTAGAGTTCCAACCCCCCTGATGGCAGGGACATCTCCCACTAGCCCAGGTTGCTCTATGCCTCATCCAGCCTGGCCTTGAACACCTCCAGGGATGGGGCAGCCACAACTTCCCTGGGCAACCTGTTCCAGTGCCTCACCACCCTCACAGGAAAAAGTTTCTTCCTAATGTCTGATCTATATCTACCCTCTTTCAGCTTATACCCATTACCCCTTGTCCTGTCACTACACTCCCTGATAAAGAGTGCCTCCCCATCTCTCCTGTAGCCCCCTTTCAGCACTGGAAGCTGCTACAAGGTCTCCCCAGAGCCTTCTCTTCTCCAGGCTGAACAACCCCAACTCTCTCAGCCTGTCCTCATATGGCAGTTGCTCCAGCCCTCTGACCATCTTCGTGGCCCTCCTCTGGACTCGCTCCAACAGGTCCATGTCTTTCTTATGTTGGGCTCCCCAGAGCTGGATGCAGTACTCCAGGTGGGGTCTCACAAGAGCAGAGTAGAGGGAAAAAATCACCTCCCTCAACCTGCTGGTCACACTTCTTTTGATGCAGCCCGGAATACGGATGGCTTTCTGGGCTGCAAGCGCACATTGACAGGTCATGTTAAGACTCTCATCTCATACCATTTCTTTAACAGAGGAACAAGTTTACTATGTAATTCTGCACAACCCTTTCAATTCAAGATGTTAAAATATGCCCACAGTCAGCTAAAAGAGAGACTTCCAAGCTGCAGTTTTATCTGTTTCTTTTCTTTGAGTCTTATCCCATTCTGTGTGTTTAACATGGGCAAATGCAGACATTGAAATGATCACCCTGGACAGCTAAAGCACTGTGAAACTACATACTATCTTGCCTTGCTATGCTCTATTAATATACCCATCTATCCAGCCAACACAATTTTCCTTGTGTTTCAAAATCGAATAAAAAAAAAAAATCAATCATTCAGTGTTCCAATGGAAAAATACAAAATTCACATCAGTGGCCTAAATTTAGACGGAAGGGAAATGAAACCAGCTCAAACAGGCAAGCGCCATAGAGGGCTAACTCAATCTTAGATTTCCAGTCACACCTATTTTGAATGGAAAAAATATCAAACTCTATGGATTTAATCCTAAATTTTCCAAGGTATTTAAAACCACAGATTTAGGCTATTCTGTTTCTAATACAATTCACAGACACATAAGGATGAAAGGAAAAAAAAAAAAAGTTAGAGGTGAAGCCACAAAGTGGTTTAAGCTTCAGAGAGGCTTCACCACATGCCTCAACTTGCTATACGAATTAGATACTCAGCTTGTGATATCACAGTTCCTCCCGGTCTTGCTTTTAGCTGTTACAGCTACATGACATACCCAGTCCAACGCTGCTGTTTTCCAATAAGTAAGTAAGATGCTCAAACATGGCCTTTTGGTTTTGACGACTAATGCGACAGAAGTAGCACAGGAATCGACAACAGCTTGCCACCATCTTCGGAAAAACGATCTGCTGAAGAAGAAAGTTGACAAACCAGTGAAATATGTTAATTACCAATCTGTTCCAATTCTTCTTCCTGCACTCCTAACAAGGAAAGTATCGTGAAGTTACCAAGGTGATAAGCAACTGACAGTTTTGCATTGCTTCTAACTTAAGAAAGGACCCGTGTTTCCTTTTAACTTTTGTATTCACTAGGCCATTAGGTTTAAAATGTTCAAAAATCTTTTTAAAGAGGACTATAGGGGACTTGTAAGGGGAAAAAACCGGAGAAATAATTCTCATCAAAGCAATCTGCAGACTAGCAAATGCAGTTATACAAAAACTGTCTTAACAGCATTCCGATAACAAGCTAAATCGCAATATTAGGTCATAGCAGAATAAATACTCAAGAACCCTAGCTCATCCTCCCATATTACAATAAGCATATACAATCTTAATATAAAAACATTTCTACAAGACTCCTATGTTTTCCAATGCATAGCTCTGATAAGATAAAACAAAACATTAAATTGCATCAACTATCCAATGCTTTTAAATCCAAAACCAAACAAAAACCCTCAACACTTCATTTCAAGCACATTATGTGCGAGGATTTCTCCTCTGAAAATAAAATAAATTCATCTGTAGCACTCATGAAAGAATGTTTTACAAGTTGCAATTAGTCATGACATCTGAGATGAACAAGTTATACCATTCTCACGTTTCACTGAAAGGAGCCGAAAGAACAAGATCAAAAATTATGGAACAGATTTTTGATGCTTGCTTGAAATTTTTTTCTGATTTACTAAATTTACCAATATATAGCACTTTTTAAAAAAATGTCAAGTTCAGGTGCAGATCTACGTAATAAGGATACTCACAAAATTAACTGGAAAATTCACTACCACCAAGGAGAATTCTTTTTCAAATAAACTGACTAGCACCCTTTAGGCACCAGAAGAATATATTCTATATATTTTATATATTCTATAATATCCAAGGTGACATCAAACATTTTCATCACAATACCATAGGTTATTTTTCTTACTATGACATCCTGCCACCTTCACTTCACACCTTTCAACTACAAATAATATTGCTTATACTTTATTACAACAAAGTCTAATAAATTTTGCCTTCTTTATAGCATAACTCTCGTTCTGAGAAGTGTAACCTTTACACTTAATGAGACAACAATCTTACAAAAAAGTGATTATTTAAATAAAGCTATATGTTATAACAGTAATACTGTTAAAAACTGTCATTTTAGAAATTCCTCATTATTCACAGGAATACATATGAATGTGGAATTCTATAAACTTTCAATCAGTAAGAAATAATTCTGAACTAAAACAATTCAATTCTGACGGCCAAAAAGGGTGTTGCTCAGGATTCTCTGAAAATGAATGAACAACCAACATCAGAAACAAACATGACATTAAGATTCCAAAATTATAAGATTTAAAACACAGTCTTTAAAACAACTGTTCTAGGCATTAAGATCCAAGTATTTTCTGAGATACACATTTCACCAATGAAGCACCTTTCCAGGCTTTTGTTAACCAGTACTAGTAAAATACTCTAAAGTATTGACATACCTTCAGCCCCACCATAGTCCACAGATCTCCTCATCTGGTTCTGACTCATTTATTTATAGCACAGCTGGAAAGAAGCCTGGCATAAATTTTCTTCAGTTTGAACTGACCATTTTTCACCTTCTCACTGTCCCTTCAGAGAAGTGTGAGCTATAACACTCCCACTACATGTCTCAATACAGCCTCATGATAAAATCACTTAATCCAAGAAGCTGAAGATCTAGTTTAAACCATCTGCTGCCACAACCTAGGAAAATGCCCAATCCCTAAACCAGAGACTACATTGCATAGTTGCTCATTCCAGCTCTTGGAGCTATAACACTGAACAGAAATAAATGTCCACGAAGCTGGAAAGAGAAAACAAAAGGGAGCATACTAACAATCTAGCTGTGAGGAACTTGTCTGAGAGTAGGAAAAGCAGCGTTTGAATGCCTGATGCCAACACTACACTTAAGCTGTATATAAGCGATTCACTGGACAAACCCATAGAGTATTTAAAATGAATATATAAAACCACAGCTGACCAAGGCATGCTCCCTGTTTCTGGCCCTACTCCTCTCCATTCAGAAGAATACCTTACCTGGCAGTGAAAGACCCACAGATGCAATAAAAAAATACATTAAAAAACCAGCCACAAGCAAAGAAAAGAAAAGATAAGCCTGCTTCACTTCTGACTTGCTTCAGTAGCCTAAACATCCAGTCAGTCGTCTCAAAATTTATGCCACTCAGCCTTTAAACTATCACATAATGCTAACAAATGAGAAAATACAACACCACAAGAAAATCATTGCTCAATTAAAGTACTTGAATTTCAGCATTCAGAATTAAGCTGGTGTTAGTCTTTTATTATAGATTGTTGCTAATAACATTTTACCTAAGATGAAGAAGTGTATTTTCCTTGCAGAGATACACCTCCCATAAATGCAGCTAACATATATATTTAAAGTAAGGTCAAAACCTTTTACAGTCCTATTAAAAGACAAATGAAATACGTCTAACCTCTCACTCACTCTAAAAAAATCAAGTCCTAGAACGCTGGGCTTCTTTCTCCAGTACTATAAATATTGTTCTATTTTTAACATTAACCAATATTTCAATTTGGCCAAGCAAAATCTGTCTTACATGAGGGAGATCTATTTTTCTTTGGATACTTCTTCTTAAACACCCTAGTATACTTTTGGAAAGGTTCAAAATGCAAAACACACAGTAAAATTACAGTGAAATTACCTGAGATTTATCTCCTCCAAGCACATTCACCATCACATCCATAACGGTCTCATGCATGCCCAAGACTCTCATTAAGTTAGGATGCTGATAAAACACCTTGTTGTTCATTATATCCCTAAAACAGAACAAAGAGGCAAAAAGGTGTCTTTAAGAAATAACGTTTTAATTTAAATCAGTGATGCATTATTAGAGATTTCAGAAATACGCATTCACTGTAGTAACGTCATTTTAAATTCCTAGGTTTCAGCATAATTCAAAAAAACCTGACAACTAAATGGTTCACATTTCAACATGCTGTCATTCCTCTAATTTTCATGGGTTCTGTATAATAAGAATCTAAACTTTTACATTATTTCAAAATGGTGTTTCTTCACCTTTAAATTGCTCTTACCATCTGTTCTGTTTAAACAAAAAATACATTCTGTGATGATCTAAATTAAAAGAATATATTGCTATGTTTTAATTAGAGAACGGGGGTCAAGAAATCTAAATCTAATCTTGTCACTGCAGTAAAACCACAATTAATTTTCTCAGTTCACAAAGTAAAAGACAATAAATAGACTTAATAATCATGGTTATTTGTTAAATGCATTTCACCAATACTTCCAAAATTAAGACCATCTGTCAGAAGATCTAAAATGGCATACAGTCCCCTTAAATAGGAATATTTTAACATTTTCACTCTGCCCATCATCATCTCAACATGTTTTAGAATTTGCTGTATTGGTTTCATAATCCAGATCACAATTTATGTGTTTTGATAGGGAATCCAGTGACTTCTAACATTTTAGGTCAACCTACTAAAAACAAATGGCAAACAACTGACATCAGGCCTTCTTTAAAGAAATACAGAAAACTGGCAATGGAAGATGACTCATAATACAGCACCTCTGGGAAGGGGGCTACACTCATTTTAAGATAAAACATTCTTTTTATCTCTCTTAGAATTCTCAGCAACTTTACAAACTCACCATCAGGGACAAATTAGGTAATACTGTCACATATGAACTAATGATCTGTTAGCATGACTTGCTCAATTCAACTGCAGAGAATAATCTTTGCAATTTAAAAAAAAAAAACAATTTTTACAGTGAAATAGTAAGAATTAAAGTTCCTTACAACTGTTGTAAAGGAGAGAAATTTTTCAATGTTCTTGATGAAGAAACACAGTTCTCAGGTAATCATGCTATCATTTTCTCTCTTTTTAAATACACCATTTTAATGGAAATAATTAATTTTCTGTGATTTTTTCCTTCCAACATTAAATTGCTTAATCCACCAATTTTTCACCAGAGGAGTAACAGATATGCAGGCATATACCATAATAGTGCTACTTAATGGAGGTAATCTCATAGCAGAAAAAATATCCTCACATCTGCAGGCATTACATAAAGGCAATTTCTTTTAATTCTAATTTCATAAAGGATAAAATAAGCAGTCTTCTGTGTTCAATTACTTTAAGTTGCCACTGATGATAACATAATAAATACTAATCAGTTTGAAACACTTCACATCACAGCAACACTTTGCTGGTTCTACCTCACTGCTTGCACAAACTTTCAAACTAAAAAGACACCAGCAAGTTTATTCTCTCATGAATGAAAGATAATGTGAGCTTAAACTTTGGGAAAGATGTAGTATTGATATCAATAAAGACTTAAGTTATCTGTTCTCTCCAGAGCTGCTAAAACACATACTTTGACAAAGCTTTAAGCATTAGGCTTAACTATAGTAAAAGGAGTCCATTTTGTCTAGATAGGAAAATACCTCAGTTCACAGAAACTTTGACATATTTGATACCACTAGAGAGAGCAATTGGAGCCATCCTGGAAATATTTGTGAAAACTAAAATTTCTGGTACATATCTGCATTTTAGTAAAGCAGAAATTTTCATCCAGAATCTAAAATGAAAGGATTTGCTAATATAACAGAAAGCTTTATATAGACTTAAAAATAAAATTATGTTAATTCCATACCCTAATCCATTAATCATTAGCAATTCCTCCTCTTTTCCCATTCTGACACTGAGAAGTGAGCGAATCTGGCCCAGTGCTGCAAGCAAATTAATGGTATCCTTCACAGAGGCAGCACTAATAGTGTACGCTTTCCTCAGAGCTTGCAGTAGCTCACCAATGCTGTCATATTGCCTACGAAGAAGAGTGTACATAATCCGAACTAATTCTGGATCTTGAATCTGATCTTCCTGGGACCAGCGCACCATAGTCTGGGATATGAGTTCTTTCAGTGTAGCTAAAAGAATAAAATACATAAAATGTTACTAGCTATTACAATAACAAAAAACATCAAAAAGATGTATTATAGTAAAATATTAGATGACAGTAGACAATGAGGCAGTTGTAAGCAAAAGAATACAAGAAGATTGAACAGGATTTTTCAAACAGAAAAATAATTTTTAGATCTTTCAAGATAAGTGGGATACTCTTGAGAGATGGAAAACAAGAAACATCTACTTAGCGTTCAAGTCAATACCAGTATTGTTGGCAATGAAAACTTCTTTGTTGATCACGACTCTAAGAATCATCTTGTAAGTTAAATGCTATATTTAATCTTTTAATTTATCCTTCATTTCTACATCAAGATTTATAAAATAGCACTAAGTGCAGCATAAACACCTTTTCATTAGGAATGACTAAAATTTAATTTTATAATGCCAAAGAGACATCATATTTTTTACAATCACCAGCCTAGGTTTGAAATACAGAAGTTGGTAATTAAGTTTTCAGTCAAGAGTTTACTGACAAGTATGAGTTCAACTACAGCAGAAATATTCATGAATGAGCTCAGCTTGCCAACTAATTTTGCTAGTGGAAAGATGAAATAAAATCTGTTCTAAACTTACAAAACTGCCAGAAAGGAGGATGAGATAGCTGCCTTTTTAAATCAAATATCCAATTCAGGGCCTAGCCAGGGTGGCTTCAGCAGCTTTTGCTGCTCATTCACTTGATGAATATTTGCTTTTTTTTGTTCAAACAAAGGATCTACATTGTCTGCAAAAAGATGATCTACCTGGAAACATCTCAAAATTGTACGATGGTGCAAACATACTAAGGAGTAGGAGATGCAAACTGATTTAGAATAGGGGAATTCAATCTGTATTTCCCATCTGTTTGGTGAAAGTCACCGTCACTTGGGAATACACTTTCTAAAAATACTGTATTGTTTGGAACAACACAATGCATATTGCTTGAAGCAATTCTGTTGCATACACTGCACATTCAGTGACCCTGAAAACAATTTTTCTGAGCCCAGAGTTCAGGAAATTTACCTGAAAACTAAACACATGTTCCAGTCCTTGCTCCAACAAATGTGCACTGTTGATATCAAGTAGAGCATGAATAATCACCTTCCCTCTTAAAACAATGCAAATTTATTTCCTCTATTTCCAGCAAATTTACCTCTTAACTTTCCCAAAGTTCTTCCAATGGTAAGAACTGGCCCCTCCTAATTTCCAGCACAAAGTGTTTATAGCTAGTGAATATCAATTTATTTTTGTGTCTACACTATCCTTTCACTTGCCAACTCTTCTCTCTTACAGTTTACTTAGTGATGTATTCATAGAAAACCATCATTAATTCTCAGATTTTGTTCAATAAGGAGTCTCTTTTCTATGGGGACAGATTCTGTGTTTCATTAAGACAGCCTTATTCTTAGGGGCATGTTAGAAAGGAGAACACTAAAGAAACTTTGTTCCAAAACACGGTATAACTTCTTTCAATCAAAACAATTTCTTATTTCAGTGCAATAAGGCAACCTCTTCTTCTTTGATTCTTGCACTAAACTCTTCTTTCCTAGAATACCTAATAATTTCCCATAACTTTCCCATTCACTAAGTGCCACTGATTTCTGGTTACATAAACATAACACACTTCTGTCAGAAAGTCAATGATCTCATTAAAGAATATAATTACTTTTTCTGGCTTTCTGCTTGGGGGGGAAAGAGATAAACATGGGATAAAGAGCAACCTGAAGTGGTAAACTCGAGGAAGAGTTAAGGTTTCCTCCTGTGAAATTATGTTAGGTCTTAGATAGCTCAGGTGATGGCCCCTCTCACAAGGCTAATGGACAAATTGTGCACAAATTTTTGTCTTTTTGTTTTACAAATCTAGTTCCTCCTTTCATTAGTACTGCCAGAAATATATATCTTTATTGAACTGAAAGGAATATGACTTTCAAAATAATATGATATTTTGGATTTTTTTGTTTGATGAGGGAAAATACCATATGATTCACTCCAAATAGATATTCTCCACTGTGGCAACAAAAATATTATCTGCACTGACTCAGTTATGAGGGTGATTTTATACACTTGATTATTAATACATATTACTAAAAGATGATTACAATTTTTAGTACAAACATAATATTCCACAAGAAACACATTCTCATAAAATGAACAAATGAAAAAAAATTGTTTCCCTGATATTGAATTGTCTACACAGAGGTTTCCATGTGTATGTGCTGTGTTTTGTAGAGTTTCTCTTTGGAGTTTTGAAAATGTTTCTCCATAACAAGTGTTAATGTTTCTTAGGTTTTAGTACCTTTGAAGGTTTTTATTGTTTTCTTCTGATAAGCTGATAATTACTTTTAGGCAGTATGGCTAGTAGCCTTGGAAAAATCAATTAGCCATGTCCCTGCATGCATCAATTTTTGGTCAAAAGATAAGAAACGGAAGGTAAAACTAAATGGTAGTGGTCACAAAGAGGGAGAAACAGCAGTGAAGTTCTGCACATATCCATGCTGCGTTCTGTGATGTTAAGCGCCTTCCTTCCCTGAAAGACCTGAGAAGGGAATAAGTGGATGCAAGCTTGATCATCAAGTTTGATGAGACAAAGTTATGAAGGATAGCAAATATGAGTTTAACTGGAAAAAAATTTAGAATTCAAAAGGACGCAACTGGGCAATAAAATGGTTGTGCAATTAACTATAAAGTCACTATATAAAATGAGGTAGGAAAATATACTCCTCATTTATAAATAGAATGATGATATGTTAACAGAGACAATCTGACAAATAGATCCATGAAGATCACAGAATCACAGAAGTGAGGCTGGAACGGACCTCTGGAGGTTACCTGGTCCAATCCCCATGTTCAAGCAGGGCCACATAGAGCTGGCTGTCCAGGACTGTGTCCAGATGGTTTTTGAATATCTCTAAGAGGGACACTTCCCTGATCAAATTATAAAAATATCAGCTCAATTATCAGTATCAACTCAAATTCCCTGGCAGTCAAATAGATCAAATAAAAAGCCAGGATTTATTAAGAAAGGAATGGTCAAAGTGAGTACATAATGCCATTATGTTAATCCATAGATCTGTCACACCTTTTAATCCAACAAATTAATATGCCATCAAATTAAGCCCATTCACAGGGCAGGAGCTAAGTCAAAAAGAAAAGTGTTTCCTCACATCATGAGTGACAGAACCCTGGAACTCCCTGACAAAAATGTGGTACATGTTAAAAATCCACATTTGCTCAAGTGGGGACTACACAACTATCTGTCAGAAAGATACAATGGGGATATAAAAAGATAAAGCTATTTAGATTCAGGAAATCTCCTAAACTGAAGATAACTGGAGAGTGAGACAGCATTAAAGTTGTAAATCATATCTGATTGTTTTATTCTTACTTGTCCCTAGGTAACAATTTGTGGTCACTATTTAAAACAAGGCATTGGGTTGGATGGATATGAATCATTACAGCCTGTCTTATCGTATTATTACAAAACTGCTTAGTGTTTGCTTAGTCCTTCTAGCTCTGAGTGTCTAAGGCTTGTTCCCTGGATTAATTTCTTATCTGAATAATTCTTAAAGATACAGAACTTTGCAGTCCAGTTTCTACTGCCTAAAACCAGAGACTTCTCAAGTCGCCACTCCAAGCCACTTACATACACTCGCTCACATCTAAGCACAGCAGTACACTCTCAGGACTTCTAGCTGAACTCCTGCAAAGAGGAAAGCCAGAAACACTTGTAAAATTTGACAAACACTCCACTAATAATTCTTTAAGAGGCATTAGAGTTAAAAACCTCAGTAATACAGTTCTTTCTAAGCTGTTCTTACGCCTTCTGTGAATTTTAGTTTCGGTTTACAAGAGTCTGCTTAGAGCCTCTTTTTCTAATCAGGTGTATTGGGACAGTGATCTATTGCTTCCTCCCCTCTAATCCTTTCTACCCTCTTTTGCCCTATACTCTAACTGAGAAGCTGCTGTTTCACTTGACAAGAAAGATCTCCTTGCAACTCAGCCAAAAGATGAGAACAGATGAGAAACAATCAAACATGATGACTCCAGCATGATCTCAATAGTAGTCAGCAATAGTCTGATACTCTTTTTGACTTCTAATAAATCACAGATGTACTGCACCGCAACCAAACATTCTATAACCAAAATTTACAAAACAGGCAACAAAAAAAATGGAGCTACCAGCCAGTGAGAAGTCTATTGTAAGTAACAACTAATAAGTTAACATTCTGTGGTAAGCAACTCTCTAAGGAACAAAGTTTCAAAGGACACTATGATTCTTCAACCTAATGGTACGATTGCATTTTTTTTTTCCCTTGAACATGCAGTGGAAATTATTAAATAGAGATTTAACCTTTTTGCACAAACATTCTCATATAGCCACACTAAGATCTGTGGTTCATTGTTTTAATGTGGGAACTGAATTAGGGCATTTGTTCAAACCAGTAAATCCTATTTCCTGATTTCTTTTCTAGAACCAGTAATCAAGTGTATAACTTCAGAATATGTGGTCCTACATGAAACATTCGTATTATACCTAAGGAGATATCCTCCTAAATTAGAGGCACCTGCAGGGCCATAGTTAAGTGAGCCTGACAGCCATAGCTGTTTGTTTTCAGGCAAACTGATGATATGAAGACAGTATTCTTCTCTGCCCTCTGATTTTAGAGACACATCTTACAGACCTATAGAAGCAAAGAGCAGAATAAGAACTCACAATACTACATTCTGGAAAACTGTTAACTTAAGCATTTCTGAATACAGAATTTGTACTTGTGAAAAAAAGTTGTTCTTTCTGTTCACTTAGGCAAACAGATGGAATATTTCTTTAAATTCTGAAAGGATATGGTCAGAAAGGATATGGTATGGATGTATATATGTGCATATATATGATGTTTGAAATAAATCAGAACATATTATTAGTTTTAATTAACATATATATTCACCATCATGAAGTTAAGTAAGTGAAAACCATGCCTTTTTACAGAAAAAACAAGAACAGTAAAACCATTTTGTCATATATATCTTGGTACCGAGATGCATACAGCTTCTCATGCAGCAAAGAGAATTAAAGTTTTGGCATTAAAAAAAAAACAACAAAAAAACACCAAACATATAAATGGAAACTTCTCAAGTTTGGAATGCTTGAGTCTAGATTATTGTGCTGTAATTAACTTTTTACATTTCTTAGTAAATAATATGCAATTTTTCAACCTGAGCTAAAGACCTGGATCCAAATCTTCCACCCATTTTAATTTCTTGTTTAACAATGCATCTAAGATGTTTAGTATGTAGGATAACTTTTCTAAGAGACAAAACAAACTTAAACAAGTAGTCTCTTTCAGTTCGCTATAAAGTTTATTTGAATATACACTCTTGTTGACTGCATATACTTTTAAAACTTGCATCATGGAGTATTTATGTGGAAATAAAACTTACTAGGAGATTTCTCTTCTTCCTCCTTAGGTTCTACTTTTTCTGCTTTTGGTGGACCTTTGATTTTGTACATTAATGAACGGAGTTTGCCAGTCAGGGAGGTATCTTCCTCTTCCTCTTCCTCCTCTTCCAGTGGAATACCTTAGCAGACAATAAAACTGGTTAGAAACAAAGCTTAATCTCTGAAGATTAATTCCTTCAATATTTAAAAAAATATCAAAATATCTACAGGAATTTTTTTAACCTGCAAATTTCATACAGAAAAAAAAAAATATGTAGTAAGGCCACCAGCTTTACCATGTAGCTACAGTAGCATCCCTCAAATTATGCTTATTTCAGCACACATATTTCTTATATCCAGATTGATAGTATTAGTTTTTCAGTATTATGATGAAAGAGGTGTAATTTTTTTGAAGATTCTACTATGACAATTGATTTTTACTCAGACTCATATTTGATTAAATATGTGATCCTTTGTTTCATATCCCAGAATGTAAGCTAAGGAAAGAAATGTATGCCTGTATCTCACAATAAAGTACAATTTTTCAGTTGAGGTATTTATCAGTCATAAACAAAAATATTAACTGGATTTAAAACTATAAGAAGGTTATAGTTCAGAGATTATGCTGGTGATGCATGTTTTTAATGAAAATGTAAATGATGAGATGGGGTGTACAAGGTAGTTTAATACCTGTACAACTTCAGCTCACTACATTGCTTCACAACCATTCAAAGCATTTTCAACTCTTTCACACCTCTTAACGATGATCAGATACCATGTGTTATGTGCAGAAGCACAGAACACCTAAGCAAGCTCCTTTCAGACCAGACCTAATTGTGCCGAGCTGAAACGTAAGCTTTTGTTTTTTGGCTGCTGGTCAAAGTGAGATTGAGAAAAGGAAAAGATTTACAGACAGAATACTGAAGAGATAGTATTAGAATACTAAAGCTGGAGCAGAGGGAAAAGAATAAACTGCAGTGGCTAAAACTGGTATTATAAAAAGCAACTATGAAACAAAAAAAAGAACTGAAATGTGGTTTCAGGTTCAAAAAACTTTGCCACTGGAAGATACCAAGTGGAAAGAGTTAAAGTTATGACTAGGAGTGACTAAGTGACTGAGAAGAAAAAAAAGTCAGAGGTAGTGGGACAGAATGGGAAACTAGAAATTTAAATTGGAGACTACACATGGAATTTAAGGAATGGGAAAAATGAGACCAGCTGAGCAAAATGAAAAGCTAAGAACGAAGGAAGGCTACAGTCAGAGTCTGGAAAAAGTAAGAACAGGAAATGTAGCCAATAAGGAGTGCTTCCATTCAGAAGCTGATGATCTAATGTTGCTACTGGCTAATCACTTAATTCAAGTGGCAGAGGTCTGTGCACTGGAACAGATGGTTCCAACCCAGATAAGTGGCAATCTGAAATTATGCAATAAAATCTGTTGTAAATTTGTTTGTTTTGCTTATAACGAAGAAATTACACACAAAAATTATGACAGAGGACTATTATTTTGCTGGCAAAATTAACCACTCACAGTTTGGACATGCTAGGATTAAGACTGCCTGGATAACTTTAATACAGACCATTTGCGTACATTCATGAACCAGCCTTTAATTACTTGATTGCATACATATTTTTCCACTTAGCAAAGTATACTTAGTATTAGGAAGCCAATTGAATATTCTAAGCACAGCTCCTATTCATTTTATCTGCAGCTGTGATTGCTTAGTACTGATTTTCAGGACTAAGGACATAGATAACGAGAAGCACTTACCTGCAGCGACCACCTATGATAAAGCTGTACAAAGTAACGAATATGGTTTTGTTTAGAATCCAGAGGATCGTTAAATATTTTAATAATGAGATTGTGCTTTCTCTATCTTCAATTTTCTCTCTCATTCAACAGAAACATTTATAAAGTAGTAAACAACTATAAAAGTACACCCCTAAAGAGAAAAAAACCCCCACAATCAGTAGGGTTCCACCTCATGAAGAGATGAAGAGTGATCAGGAGCTAAGCTAACTCAATAATAATATCAGCAACAAGATTTCAAGGTAAAAGAAATTTATTGCAGAACTAAGACATTTCTAGTTAAGTTGGGGGTCTTCCATAATTTTCATCCTGGAGTCTCAGAGAACTCTGATGCTAAACAGGCATTATCTTCGAAAACGAGAGGTCAAATCAATTGCTAAGTGACTGAAGAATGGAGATGATGGCACGTAACTCAATAAAAACGGTGAAAAAGGGAGGAGCTATGACGTTACTAACTATTCACTTCAATGCTTGGAAGAAAAATGTAAGAATGAAAGAAAAAGTTTTTGGTAAGCACTTAGAAACATGGATGAACAACAATCAACACAGGATTGTCAAAACCAAATTACAATACGCCAGCTAAATTGCCACCTATAACACAGCTAACCTTACAGACACAAATCTTGATTTTAAGGACTTCTAATACTGTCTTATACAATATTCTTAGAAATAAACTGATGAAACACAACCTAGATACCCAGTGACCTACTCATCTTTGTCTGAGGTAGCTGAAAAATGGTAACTGGCTTATGAAATCACAGCTTGGTGGTTGCTAGAGATTCCAATAGGGTATTCAGAAATAGCATCACAAGATGACAGCAGAAGCCCTAACAATGCAAGTGCAGAATGGTATAGGAGGCACCATGGCTACAAACAGAAATCACAAACTGTTAATTACAGGTAACTAAGAATGCAATTCCATGAACTGGTTAAAACTGGTTTTAGGGATAACCAGTGAAGAAATAACTAGTAGACTATATTAGTAAACATTTAAATGCTATCTCAAGCAAACAGAAGAAGGAAGAAACTATTAAGATTACAATGATCTTCCTAGGGAAGAACTTGAGATGTTGTCAATTCACTGTAACGACCCTGTCCTCTTCTTCTTGAACAAGATGGGTGTCATCAACCATAGGACCAAGAAATGCACCAATATAATCTACCAAGTAGGCAGGTACGAAAAAGCTTTTGTATATCAGTTCTAACTGCATAATTATTGAGAATGAGCAGTAATAACTGGATGATTCAGACTAAAAATGTTAGTACCATTGTAAATGGAGTAGTAATTCCATTATTGTCTTGATTAGACTAAGATCTCAAAAGACTAACAAAAGATTTTTGGCATCACACCTAAAATGCGATTCCTTAACCCGCATACCTCATCCTTGAGGATACCCTACAGAAATTGAAATGCAATGACTGGGGCAGCTGTAATCTGCAGTAAAACAGTGTTTTATAATGATTGACCATCACAGCTATGCATACACCAGGAAACTAAGCTAAAGCAGCAGCAGCAGCCCTCATCTAGTGTTTTTTTAGTAACATTTCTATTGCTCAACTTCACAGCAACAGTGTTAATACCTTTTATGTGCTTGTACACACACACATGCCTATTTAAACCTTTTCAGGTAATCCAACCTTCATTTTTATTTTTTTGTAATTAAGTCTAAAATTGATATATAAACAAAATAATACTGCATAATATTTACTAGATATATAACAATGAAACTTAAAACCATACACAGGCTTCCCATATTTTTGTAATATGCACCAAAGTCTGTCAGGAAAGTCACCATGTAGACAGTAATACATCTAACAAAAAAACCTCATACTAGTATTTTTTTAACTGATCTGTTCTTTTTCAATGTAAAGTGTCAAAAAGACAAACAAAAACTTAACAAAACATTGCCCTCACCACAGTGAATTAGAAGGTCATCATGAAATTCATATAACTCATCCCGAATCTCCTCTGGACAAGGACAATCCTCTCCCAGTTGAAAATTCAGCAACATATTAATCTTTAAGGGAATTAAGACGTAGTTAAAACACTGAGACAGCCTAAGACATATTCTAATATATAGCATTGCTTTACCTGTTTATAATCAAATTAACATGAAACATAGATTTCAAATACAGCTTAAAGGAAATACTAAAGCAGTGGTATTTTGTAAGCTTTAATTATGATTAACATCAAAATACAGTTACACTGTATTATCTCCATCTACATCCTGGAGATAGAAAAGACTATTTCTAACATATAGATGTCAGCAGAACACTAACTTCATGCTAAATTTTAGCAAGTAAAATTATCAAATTATCATCATCTTGCAGAACTGGATGAATCTCAGCTCCTCAGCACTGGGCAGTAATGTTCAATTTTTCTCTACTGTTGAGAAATCTTAAGTCAATTTTGGTTTAGAGCTTGAATTCTGGAGCACAGGTACAAGCATTGTGACATTCAATATCTTAATAAATTTCAAATTCATTTTTTTTTCTCTAGCAGTTCCAATGCTAGTTTAGAAATCAGAACTCTTAGTTTAACATCACAAAGAACTGTTTTTATGTCAACCATTTGTTTAATATTACCTGTTCTTGAGGAGGAGACCGAAATTCTTTTGTCTTCCTGGCAGTCAAAGCAGCAGACATGTTCAAGGCTTGCATGAGTTCATTGTACCTGTATTTCTGATTATATTGCAATTTTGATACATACCGGTCTGCAAATGATACAATTGCTTCCACTCTATGTTGTAGCTCACAGTCACAGAAATAATTGAGTAAATGACACATCTAGGACAGAAAAAAACAGACTTAAGTTCAACAGTTTAACAAACTCTAATCAGGGAACTGATACACTGCATCAGACTGCAAAAATGAGAGACTTTTTCCCCATATTTTTAACACTGGAAAGGTGACAAATTTATACAGTTTTATTATCTGTTCAATAATACTACATTGCATTCACAGTCTTTCACTCCATGAACATGTAGAAATCATAGAATAGTTCAGGCTGGAAAGGTCCTTTAAAAATCATCTGGTCCAACCCTCCCTCTTTTAAAATACATCTATGAAATAAGTATTCACATATCTATTTTGAATGTAGATACACGTTAGAAAGAATTGCATCGTAATAAAATTTTGTTACTAATATGAGGTCATAAGGCAAAGTGGAATAAAGAACTTCAGGATTTCAAATCTTACAAACTAGAGAACAGACAAAAAGCCCTACCTTTCATTCATCAACAGTAGAACATATGTAATACATTTATATTAAATGGTTACCTGAAGCTTAACAGATTCTGGTAGCCTTGTCTGCAATAAGCCCTTTGCAGGAGCTTTTGTTTCTTTTATAGCTTTCTCCCCAGCTTCTACAGCTTTTTCTTCAACTTGTGTAACTTCTTCTTTCTCTGTCCTCTCTTCTGTTTCTTCCTTATGATCTCCAAACACATTGGGATCAATGAGGAGCAACACCTGCTTCACATCATCATCATCAAAAACCCCCATTATGAGCAATGTTGCTATCAGTTTAAGAACAGGAACAAACTGGAATCCAATCTGTCCTCCAACAGGGTCTCGTATATGAGTACCACTACACTGTACTGCCTCTGTTAGCATACTTATGGCCTTGGACTTAAGTGTATCAAGGGGTATCTCTGGGCTGGAAGTCTGATGTTCTTCACCGGTCACAATAAAGCATGGAGTAGAAAAATTGAAGCCTGGTTTCAGGCAAGTGCTAAGGCCTACTCCAGGTAAACCATGCTTCTTTGTTTCATCAGGATATAATTTAATAGTTCGAGTTTCATCTGTAACTGGAATGATAAATTCATTGTTCATCATCAGCTTGGCTTGCTTGGCATGTTCCAAATGAATACTAATGAGCAAGTCATAGAATCCAGAACGTAGAAGTCCAGGTAAGTATTGATTATCTATTGTATAAAATAGCTGAGATACGTCCACATGGCTACAAAGTGCGTAAGCAACTCTAGTGTTACCTAGAGCACAAACTGAGCTATAGAGTTTTAAAGTGTGGTAGTGAAACTTCATCAAATCTTCTTGTTCACATAGTTCCAAAATATCAACGCATCTGTTATAAAATAAAGAAACAGAACAGCAGTCAAATTTGTGAATAACAATTTTGTAAAAGAAAAGTTTTATAATCTCTGCACATTTTGGTCAGTTCCACTTTAAACTATTAATATTAAGGATGATACTAACTAATCTTACATGTGATCATCAAACCACAGTAAACTGTGGTAAAAATGAGATTATTTACAATTATTACTCCACAGGAAAAAAAAAAAAGGAAAAATGTAAGACAGAGAACCTTCTTTAGAACCTATGGTAAATTAGAGCTTGTTTTTAAAAGAAATGTATTTGGAATGCTGAATTAAATTGGTTATTGAGTTATTAAAACAAGCTGCAAAATAACAGTTAAAAGTACAGCAGTTATCTTCCTGCTATGCTTTTGCTTATCGTTCAATTTGTCACTAGCTACAATTTTTGATACTTGGATACATCTTTATTATTCTCATTCTGAAGATAAAACCTAATGAAAATCTAAGAAAGTCAGGATCTTGTCAATAAGAACATAAAAACTTAATCCATGAAAATTCAGAGCAGATGAAACAGGAATAGATTACATGTTTTTGTTACAGAAAAAAGATCAGCAAAATAGTACTTGCATGTTATTTATATTTGTTTTTCTCAAGCTGAGAAATCTCTGTTTAAAGACCTTGAGATTTAAGAGATATAATTTAAATAAAATCAAATAGTCATGTTTTCTCTTACATATGCAAATTTCGTCACATAGTATTAAAATTATTCAGCCTCTCGTGTCTACTTAAATTTCATGAATATTATAGTATAGCAGATAAGATCAGAAACTCTGAACAACTCCAGTGTAAATATTCTCCAAGGCATGTTTAACCAATACCCAGGTATCAGCTTTCAATACATTTTGTCCCCATCAAGTCACTGTAGTTCCTTCCAAATGTACCTGTTTTCTTCTGGGATATGAAGTGCCATCATCTGCAGAGGTTCCAAACACTGCACAACCCAGCCATGACGTTCACTGACACGCTCAGTTTCTACTTTTAGAAAGCTGTTTGGCATCCTGCTCCATAAAACAGGGGTAATTGTTTGCACATCAAGGCGAGGGGGACACTGAGGAACAGGATTTCTTTCTTCGCTTTTAAAAATTGCTGCTGATAAAGGCATGGTATTCTGTAACAATAAGTGCATTAAAATTATTTTTATAACATATAATTGTGAATAAACCTGTAATACCAAAAGGAAGTATAATTTATTGATAGCAAAGAACTCATAGAAATACATAAGTTATTTCAATAAACAAAATCTGCTGGAAAACCCCCAACATTAAGGGTGTTCTCCCCAAATAACTTCAGTTTATTTTGACAAATCCAGTTTAGATTTGTTGAACAATTAACTAATATAATAATTATATTTACAGAAGTAAATGTAGAAATAAAAAGTCACACCACTGATTCAACCTTCCTAAACAAATTGAAGTGAGCAGGAATTTCTGTGGAAATAAACAGATTTAAAAGAGCACCTTTACAGAAAATGTTTTGTACCTTTAATTTACCAAGTTCAAACTGAATCAAGTTAGTGCTTGTAGGCTGTACAAAAGTTGCTGGAAAAAGCTTTGTGTTTGGTTCAACCTAGAAGAGAAATGAGATCAAAAAACTTAAAAACTGAAAAAGCAACAACACTCTCCTCCCAGAATATGATATGATGTAGAATAAATATTACATAGCTTACACTTCATTATCAAATAACTGCAGACACTGTATTAAAGTGTTGATTAATGTCTAACTGTAGTTTACCTCTAACAGTATTTACTGAGTTATCTTTAAAGACCCACCTAACTTTCACGCAGCTGTGCCTGCTGCCTTCTGTGCTCTCAACACCTATAACAAGAACTTCGGTAACACTGCATGTTGATTCTTCTCAAACACATCCAAAACCAACACCTCATTCTAGAGAAGCTCCTCAAAAATCCAGCCACTTTACAGCTACATACTCTGGCTCTTGCTCTAGGAAAAGTACCCCCAACACAGACTGAGGGTAGAATACAGCTTTTTACACCACCACACACCTTTTAGAGTTCTTTCACATTTTACACTGGACAAAATAATTCACTATCAAAAAAGCTCAGAAATGAATTTTGAAGAGAGATGGAACCAGAGGGGAATAAGAAGAGGGCGAGAGCACCTCATTTGATCAGGAGAGCGCAAATCTTTATTTCTTATTAAGATTAGTGCATTTCTGACGCATATTCCAAAAACAGAACAGTGTTTGTTTTTTTTTTTAAAGATCTCAAAGATCTCTTTATTTCAAGGTTTAGCACTTATCTTCAGCCTTATAAAATCACAGAGAATTACACTGAATCACAGTGCTGCAGTTTTAAAGTGTCTGGCTGGGTTTGGGATTTTTTTGACAGATACATTATCCTCATTTCCTCATTATAGCTGTAACCAAAGTACATGTCAGAGTACTAATACCAGTTTATTCTGAAAAATTCTCTACAGGGTCATCCACCCCTACTGCCATGAAAAAAAGAATTAAAAAGATACTTACAGAATTGTATATTATTAAAAAGATTTCAGTGCTTCAGGGTGTCTGAAAAAATGGTATACTCTATACAATAAATTCAAGGTTTCAGGAGTTCAATTAAATATTTAAATCACATCACTGTGTATTTTGTGTACTATGCATACACATTATACATACTAAGTACAATTACAATACTCGCGTTGTGAAGGTGTGCAACTCCGAACTCTGAGGATAGCAAACTATCAAAAATTGCAAAACAATAAACAGAGATCCATCTTCCTCTAGATGAGAGAACAGCTCCAAAACACAATATAACCTAAACAAAATGTAAAATAGTACCATACACTGAAAATCTGTATGCAGACTAAAGTTGTTTCAGAACTATGACTATTGGTTTAGACAAAATAATGTAGGGCCAGGCACGTACATTCTAATTTTTTTTATAAGGAAAAAAACACAAACCCAAATCCAGAAACAAAAGATATCCTGGACTGAAAGACACTACTAATAAAATATGCGTTATATTTCATTAAAGCCTGAAAGTAACTGACTTAGACAATATAACTCTCAGTCTCTGACCCAAGATAGATATTTCCTAGTAATAATAATAGAATTTGTAATTTATAAACTTTTTTGAAGGGCAGAAAACCATTACTAACCCAAAATAAAATGAAACATCTTGTAAACCAATATTTAAGATCTCCTTTCTGCTATGTAAACCTTAACACTGGCCTGATGTTTAGTGACAAAATCTCAAATATATGTGTGCATACACTACATTTCATTTACTTTTCTATTACAGACAGTGTGGTTTTTTCTGTACATCACCACGGTATTCAATAGTTAGATCAAGAACTACAGCAAAATTCATTTCTTCTCCTCAATATGTTGACCTCTAGGCCTTTTAAATGAAAGCAGCATGCATATACTGTCCCTCTACTTCAGTTAAGAAAACTGAAAAGTGTAAACGGTTACAAGGTTAAAATAATTATCCTGCAGCCTCTAGGCCAGACAAATATCAGTCATGTTTTTGCAATTTGTGTGAGAGATTAGATTTACTAAAGTATTTTGAAGATTTAATGTTAAAAATATTCAAGAAATGAAAACTACCTAAAACTGTTTTCACTATTTTCAAAAATAGATAAAATACTTAAATTATTCAAAATAAGCAAATGTTGAGAAGTACTTCACCCTCAAACATAACACTCCTGTTGGAATTGTATCTGTACAGGAAATTCTGAGTGTTCCTATTTTTTGACAGATCAGGTGCTAACAGGTTTATTGAAAAACATTTCTGAAAGCAACTCCAGGTATTTTTCCCATGGAAAAGAGAAGAAATAGAAGATACTAATTGTATTTGGTAAGATTATTTTAAATTTAGTACAAAGAATGTAGTTATATTAATTGCAAGTCATAAGAGGAAAAACCTGAAAGTGCTTTTTACACTAAAATCAGTAACAGTATCTTCTACATCTATATTTTCCTAGATTTATTTGCAAAATTATAAAAACAGGTAAAGGTTGTTCTGTGAAAAAGAAACAACAAACCAGACCAAACTTCCATGGTTTTCTTCATAAGCTGTCATATTGATTCATATCTAGCTAAAAAAGGAGGAAAGCATAGGGTTTAAGCACTTTCATCTCCTGTTTTCCCAGCATGGCTCTGCAGTCTCTGACCACCCTTACAAAATATACCAAAATCAAAGCTGCTAGATCATCTCCCAACCCCATTTGCAGACTGTGTGGAACCCTGACACATTAATTTTCAATTGAGTCAGTATCAAATGTTTAATTAAATTTAGTTGAATAACATTTAAGTTTTATCTGTATTACAGATTTGTGGTGTTTTTGTTGACATAGCAGAAAGTGATGCATTGGTCCCGACACTGCCTCTCTTCCACAGCGGATGCTCTGCTATGGAAAACTGATCATACTAGGAGCAAATCTCATCAATCCGCTGCAGAAAACTTTTGTCAACTACTGATCCATTCACATCATGACTCCACATTTTGAGAACATTAATAGCATTTAGAGCCCACCCCATTTATTTCGGCTTTGCACATTAATGCATATTTGAATTTTGGGTTTCGAAACATAAGATTTCCAAATTATAGCTATCTGCAGAAGACACAAACCCTGGTAATAATAAACCAAATTTATTTTTTCAATCCATACCAAAAATCACTATATCTAAAGTCAAATTTTGACCTTTTGCTTATTTAAATAATTATTTCCCCCATCTTGCGTAACAAATTTAGTCGACAAAAAATATTTTCAAGAATAACCAACGTTATAAACACTATAACTCAAGATTATGAGCTACAGCAATTGAGAGGTAAACAAATACTTTTCTGAACAAATCTAACAATATCTTCCTCAGCATTTAAAACAACTGTAAAAAGTTGGAAAAGTGTAACCATACAAAAGAGAGAAAAAGCAAAAGAGAGGAATGAAGCAGAATAATATAGGAAAACATGTTAGTGTCACATGAATAGTGTTCAGTTAGATTTCTGAACCAGAAAAAACAATTTTATAACAACATCAAAATGATCAGCTTACTAGATAGCTTCATGAAAATCTGATACTACCTGATAACAAGTGCCAAGCTCTTTTCCATTGGCTGTGAATGACAACATTCCAGTAGCCAGGTCAACAAAGCATCCGATTTCTAAATCAACGTTACCGCGACCTGATCTCTGGGAATTAGCCATTACATCTCCTCCCCAAACCATATAGCAATTGCTGCGCTTCACACTGAAAGAACAGCAAGAACAAAGAAAACAAATCATAGGTAACGCTGAACTTGACCAAGTATTCAGTGAAGATGTACTTTTCAAAGGAGTAATGGCTAGAGATCCTCAAAGGTGTTTGTGCTGCTGTTAGTATTATTTTCTCATTAACAAATTCCCTTTCTTAAAATAATGTAAGCATTGTGGATAAGGGATCAAACTAAGCGCACCTTTATTTTTTTTCCTTTTTTATAATTATTAAACAATTTTACATGCTTCTGTGTGCTTATATAAGACTCATTACAACAAACAACAGGTTAATCCATGGAGACCAAATATGGATGTTAAAAGAAAGAAGCATCACAAAACATTCTTTCATACAGAACATTAATGATAAATATACTCAGTTTAAGTCCATGTAAAACACATACATAAATGAACACACAACACTCCTACTCCGTAAGTTTTCTTATTAAATTAACATTTAAAACATCAACAAACTTGTGAATAATTCACTTTTGAATAACAGTATTAAAATACAATCTTTAATAAGCAATAAATAAATCCATACCTTTCATGAACCCTGCCTCTCTCGTCACCTAAAGTAACTGTCACTGTACAGTTTTTATTTAGGTCAAAATTCTCACTGTAAAAATGATAGTCTGGTGTTACCCAGCCAACCCAGACAGAGGATGGGTCTTGACCAGCAAATATCCGCAGTGAATAAAAACACTGAAAAGAGGGAAAGTACATATTAGTAATAGAAATCTGAATTATTTTATCATGGAATACTCAAATTGTGATTAAAAAATCCCCTATACATCAAACTTGAATAACAGCCATTCACATTCTCTTAATAAGCCACTTAACATGCTCATAAATTAAAAAAACCTGACTAGTGGTTTACGATACTGAGGTTTATGCCGCAAGTCACCCAACTCTGGGCATTATTATTTAGATGCAGCGTTATATCATAGCAAATGATTAAAAAGGCTTCTTTCGACAGATCAATTTCTAATGAACATGCTGCCACAACTAAAGCTACTTCTGAAAGTAAGAAGAACTAAGCATCGCAACGTATTTACTTACTGTAGTAGAAGCAGAGGCAATTTCTTGGCTGTGCTTTCTAAAGATAAAGGAACATCAGTAAATTAGTTGTTTTGTTTTGGTTTTTTTTAAGAGAGAGAGAAGTAATAAAAATGTACTCATTAAATTAAGTGTACTTACAAGCCAACTCATGTTTGCTGGGTACTGAGTATGCATGAGTAAATTAAGTACGCAAAGACTACAGGATACAAAAATACACTCAAAATAGCTGATTGCAGATAAGGTGGACAGCAGGGGAAGAGACAGATTTACAGCAATTAATTAAAGAATAAGGCAATGCTGGAAGGTGCTGAACTTAGTAGTACCGGTATCTTTAAAAATCTGTCCCACAATCTTTTTTTCTTTGCATGGATTAGTCACTTTTCCAATAACAATAAATTATTGAACAATAATATAGACGAGCATTAATCCAGTGGGCAAAAGATTCTAAGCTGACTTTCCAGCCTGGATGAAGAGCTTTGCAAACCCCAATGATTTTGAAAGGATGACAGCTGCTTAGCAATGAGTAACTATAAACCTTGTGATACACCCCTTCAGAAATGATTCTCTCTTGTCTGGATATAGTATTCTGCAGCACAGTTGTGTTATAAATTTACTAAAACCATCAAGAACAAAAAAAAGTCATTAATATGCATCCTATGCTAGGGTGTGCTTTGTGCAAAACCAAGTATGGAATCTTGAGTGTACAATAAGAAGAATAATAGAACATATTACATTTACATTGAGAGCATGAAATAGGATAACTAAAACCAAGCCTAACCGTTTTTGGAAAACATCAGATGAGGCATTTTCCACACCCATGCTCAAGTTGAATGATGAGCGGAACTCAATGGGCATACTCAAACGACAGTATATCATGTCTGAATTGCTGTTCTGTGTGCCAAATGTTTTGTGAGTAACTTTTAACCGAGGTGGACTCTCAATGGTTCCATCAATTCTCCATATCTAAAAATAACACAAATAATTTTAAAATAATACTACTGCAAGAAAAATGCTGAAAACTTTCATTAAGCAACTAGAGGATAACTGAATCAACTTTAATTTTTCAAAATGAATTAATTTCAAAACGATGTAACTTTCTTCTTTAAGAAGGAATCTAGCCAGAAGAGTGAGGCAAGCAACAGATTCAGTATATCCTGACTACAGTAAATATTTTCAAGTTGTTCCATGGATTTTTTTAAAAAAAAGTATAGATTTTATTAAATTAATTCACTTTGAATACACAAGTCATTGAAAAATTGCTTCACAAGAATCAGTAGTTTTCTACCACAACAAGAAGAAATATCAGTTAGAATCCTTCAGATTATCATTATGAAGTCTGAGTGGGATATTATTATCTTCTCTTGCACTGAAAAAGTGAGCATGCTTTTAAAGTCAGTGATAGGAACATTTAAAAACTTTTAAAGACATCAATACAGTTGAAATTATCCTGATAAACTGAAAAAAAATGCTGAGAATATTTAGTTGGAATGCAGTGAAGCATTTTTTGTTTAAGAATGAAATGTTCAAAAACAGGTATGAAGGAATAATTGGCTAAACACCTAAAGTAAAGTAAATGGCCTAGGCATTACAGTAAAATGTGACCAGGAATTCAAACATACAATTGTATAAAATATTCCATATTCATATATTCCACAAAACACAGGATCTATTATTCTGCTCTAGAGTAGATCAGTTAGGGAGTTGTGGAATTCCTATCACTGGTGCATCATCAGAATGAATGAAACAATTATCACTGAGCAACACCATAGGTATACTTAAATATCCCTTAAAATTGCAAAGTGGACTAAATCAGTCTCTCTTTAGCTCACACTTCCATTACCTTAAGTGACACTGAATTCAGCTGAACAATTTTTAGATATTTAAGAAAAACGTATAGTAGAGAAGGTTTAAAAAAATGAAAGAAAATGTAAGACAGAATATAAAAAAATGATTCTAAGAAATCACAACTGATATCTTGTATCTGACCACAACAACATAAATTAGCAAGACATATAATAGAAGAGAGAAGTTTATCCATATGAATAGTAATACTACCATAAATGAAGTTAGAGATAGTCAAGATCATCTGGAATTATCTAAGATTTAGAAGACAAACTATCTGATGACAGTACGTATTAGTAAGGGTTTAATGTCTCAGCTTGCTAAACAAACAGTTGATAAACAGGTGTCTCCTTAACATGTAATGTTACCTCAATGTGAGGATGACTTTTTGGCACATTGACAAATGTTGGTAAGCGTTTGCTAAACCACATAGCAACATCTCGGTTCATGTTGACAGCAAAAGGTTCAAAACCTTCTTGAAGGCCGCACATTGTATAATACTTGAATGTACTGGCATCCATTCCAAGGTTCATACGACCAATCTGAGATAGACCCAGTGCACAAATTGGAACAAAACCTAAGAAAATTATACAACAACAACAAAATCAACCATCATTTATTTGGAGGACACAAGCATTTTATTTTGGATCCATCTAACATGAACTAAACTTTAGTTCCTACAAGTAATGCACATGAAGTGATAGTTCCTACAAGTAATGCACATGAAGTGATGACAGTAGCAAGGATTTAAAGCCACCTTAAGTACTAATGTCTAAGTCCAATATAATTGCTACCAAAAACCCTGAGGACTTTGGCAATGAATGGACATTACATACACTATCCCATTTACTTAAACATCAAACCAGTTTAACAATTGTTATTAGTAAGTCCATGTAAGTAGATTTGTGTGAAAAAACAAAAAAAAAAGTCACCTCAAGGGGTAGTTTTGTGGACAATCAGTTTTGAAAAACCAAGATTTGCAAAAGTCAGTTATTAATTTATTACAAGTACCAGTTACCTTCATAATTTTTAGACTAATAAACATGCCTTTATACACTAGAAGACAGCCTTGGCTAGATCAATGTTAAGTATGCTCTTTAAGGGCACTGAAGTTTCAAAAGGACTTTGGGATGAGGTTCAGGTATCTCGGTACATCTGTTTAAAATTTTGTTTGTCATCAGTAGCTATAAATTTGTTGCCAACCTTCATCCCTCCATCATTCATGATGGACCCATAAACATTTCTTCAATTCTGGCATTTTTTATGACTGAACCTTTTTAGTCTCCATATATCTGTAGCAGCCAATAGACGGGGATGAAAAGCTGTTGAATTATTTCTCCATCCTTCAAGAAACAGAACTTGGAGCAACTTCAGGTTAAAGACAACAGTTCAACATCTAAAGCACAAATTTTATCTCCTATACTTCATCTTTAAGCCTTAAGGAAAGCTCTCTTAAGGTAGTCCCTCATTCCCTACCATTAGAAAAACTGTACCAATGGTCAGACCACAGAGGCATAGTGAGCAATCGCAAAGTCTTCCGGCAATTACTAATGGGCATGAAGCTACTACTGTTTGGAGGAGATATGCTACCAAAGCAAATGTCAACTAAAAAATAAAACAAAACAGTTTGAAAATATTCCTTGCCTCCTTCAAGACAGTCATGTAGATACTACTATTCAAAAAAGCAAGGGCCAAAACCAGAAGAGTAAAAATAGCCCAGGAAAAGGAGAAATGCAGATAAGCTATGAACAGGACAGAGAAAAAAATTACAAATCAGTCTCAATTTCTGTTGCAAAGATTTGTTCTTTTGGTGCAGCCTCTCACCACACAGTACTCATTTTATCCTTCATAGACAAGAACATAATACATTGTATGCTCCAGTGACATAATCAGTGTCTACATTTTCAGCTTTTGGGAATTTTTCAAGGTGCTTATTATTACCACTTTTTAACACTGAAGTTCAGTCCTGTGAGTAAACCTAGCAAGGCTTGAAGAAAATTTACCCATTCTCATTGCTGAAATTCCATTAATATCTACTTATGGTTAAAGGAAAAAAAGAAAACCAATTTGCGCCATATAAGCACTCTTAAAACAATTTTTTATGATGTTAATGTGTAGCACAGTCTGAAGGCCCATATCAGATAAATACGATTTATCAGCTCACTAAGCGATTATGACAGGCTAGTTTTTCTGGTTTTCATTTTGCTTTGTCTTCTTATAACCATGTAACTAGAAAAAGAAAATTACCACTTTCTATTCCAAAGTCAGCAAACGCAAGTTCTGAACCTTTACTGGTTATAAGCAACTCTCCGTTCAGAGTAAAGATAATTGATTTGTCATCCAAGTTTATCATACAACCAACCACATCTCCTGGTTGCCAGCTTCGTCCAAAGAATCCACTGCCCTGATGCCAACGCTGGCCCTAAACAAACGAACAAGTAAATAAACATTGTGCTAAAATTAAAAAATAAAACACAAAATAAATAAAGTAAAACAAACAAAAATTTCACCTTCCAGGATCTCAAAGTGATTTGCAAACAGTACTGATCATGGCTTTCAGGCAATTAATTTAATTACTATCTTAGTTATTTCACATAGAGAAACTAAAGCACCTTAACTTCAGGAATATACAAACAGCAATTTAGAACCTGCATGTTAATCAGTGTTTACTGGATTCCACTTCTCACATTCTCACATGCAGGGTCATTATTATCCTTGTGTCCTTCAGGAGACAAGTTTAAGAAGAAAGAATGTGAAGAAAGCAAGAAAGCAGAAAAGACAAAAAAGGAAAACAGAACTATGGTTCTCTCTTCCAGTCACCGAAGAAACTTTGTTTTGTTTTTGTAAAACAGCCCTTATATAAAAAAAAAAAAAAAAAAAAAAAAAAAAGGAAGTGAATGCTGTATTTTGTTTATGCTTATGACAGACTTCCTTACTCTGTTGGGTATAACCTAGGAGGACAGATATAAACCAACACACCCTTGTTAGCATAATTACAATGACCATAAATAAAATGCAGATACTATCCAGAATGAAACAGAGCTCAGAGATATCTTTATATGAACCAAAATTTTTCCAGCAGCTGATCTGAAGTATTGTATTGGGCCTGGCTGAGATGGAGTCAGTATCCCCACAGCACCCTCCCAGTGCTGAGTGTCACCCTGGCAGCCAGCAGGGTGTGTGTCACACAGCTTGGGAGGGGGCGGAGCTGAGTTGCCCCGGATTGGCTGTTCCATACCATGTGACCTCAGCTCAGCCATGAAAGCCAAGGGCAGGGAGGAGGAGGGGGGCATTGGTTCCTGTGTTTGTCTCCAGGAGCAGCTGCTGCACACACTGAAGCTCTGCTTTCCTGGGAAGTGGCTGGACATTGCTTACTGAGGGGACGTAGAGAATAACATCTTTGTTTGCCTTTTGTTTCTGTGCATGGCCTTGGCCTTTGCTTTAATTAAACTGGTTTTATCTTGACCCATGAGTTTTTCATCTTATTCTCCCCGTTTATTTTGCTGATGGGGGAGTGATAGAGGGGCTTGGTGGGCACCTGGCATCTAGCCAAGGTTAACCCACCACAAGTATACAGAGAAAACCTATACTGTATCTCTCTGCCTATCCTGTTCATAGATGAGAAAAGATAAAAGTGTACTGACTTTGCTTCCTTCAAATACAAATGCTTGGTCATCAGCTCCCAACTCTACGTCAGGTCGACAGCCTGGCCTGGCCCAGCCAACACGCATATCTCCACCTGTCACAGCTTCAAATTCAAAGTACCACTTTCCAGACTTCACTGCATAAGACTGTTCTACTCTGAAAAATCGTATCTTGTCGATGCTGACTTTTTCCACTGTTTGGTCAGCTGTAAAAATAAACAGAGAAAAAAACCCCACCTTTTACAATTAGATGAAACGATACATGCCACTGTTCAGCTTTTCATCTGTCCCAGTATTTTCTATCTCTGAAAGCAGCCACTATCTACCATTACATGCTTAAGAATCTTCACAGTAAATTTTAAAAGAGGAGAAAGAGTAACGAGCATACAGAGGCTAGCACATTCTAATTCTGTACAGGATGAGTGATTATCTGCTATTTAGAATTTGAATATTTCAAAGTATCACTCCATGCAGAGCCCAAAACACAAAACTGACTAGAGGACACCTCAGAAGTGTAAGATTACTACATGCAATACAATCCAATGCAATAATTCAGTATCACAATGCAACAAAATACTTTCTTACGTAAGTCAATGCATTTAGAACATTTCAAAAAAACCTATCAAGTTTTGCTTCGGTTTGGATTTCTGTCAAAACAACTACAGCAAATAAGAAGAAAAACTTCCAGACAAATTTCTGCTCCTGTTTGCAATAAAAAAAATTATTGAAGTTGGTGCTCTTCTTTGACTACTCCTTAAGAAGTGAGTTGGTCAAACTTAATCTGCATACAATGTAAAAAAATTCCTTAAATTAATCCCATATTATTTTATTTCTTTCATTATTTCCAGATGAAAGCCAGTATGTCTACTCATACTCCAGATTTTCTCCAATCTAAAAATCATGGAAATCAGAATTATCATATTATTAACTACAACCAATCTTTTAAAAAATATATATGTAAGTAATATACAAGTCATTTACAAAGTATATTTGCACCTTTCATTAAAGTCCACTGCAAAAATACACTAGTATTAAGTAATATCTTATGTTTTCCTTTCCTATTTCAGTTTTATGTTTTTTCCCCAGCACTGAGGGAAAAAAAGGCCATGATTCTTATTGAAAGTACATACCTATCTCTTGGTCAGGTGGCTCAATACTATAACCATAGCCTGCAAATGTTCTAACAGCTTCACGGAGACTATCTCTGTTTGATTTTTTAGTACGTTCATCTAATAACACATATGGCACTAGCCGAGGATTACGTTTGTTCTTAAGATCCTAAAAGGGGTTATAAAAAAGAATAAGAAAACTGTGTTTAAACATCACAAAGATATTATATAATGAAACAGAGTGTATTCTGAAACAATGTTAAGATTACAGATGGGAGACAATACTGATGAAGAACAGTTCTATGAATATAAGCCCAATTGTTAATAATATTAAAAACCTAAATACAAGAATTAAAGAGAAGTATGGAAATATATTCTCATACATCCTGCAGCTGCAGCCATGCAGGTCTGACAGTCTACTCAGACTTGCATGGGCAAACTTCTTTCCCTGTTCCCCACTTCCTCTAACTTTTCCAGACATCCAATGACACTCAATATTTATCCTCTTATTTAGCACTCCCAAATGATGTTCTAGAAAACAAAAATCTCACGTTCTTTACTTATTCCAAACGCATCTAAATAAATCCTTACCTGCTGAATGCCATAGGTCCATCCTTGTTTTATTCTGTCTTTTGCCCAGACATTATGTGCGTTTTCTGCTAGTTTGTCAACTAGAAGTTCTTGAGAAGGTAACAATTTCACTTCAGAAAGATCAAGAGGGGCGGGTTTATATCCATTTGACATCATGTAACTGTAAATCAACAAAGGAAAGCAAAGCGTCAAGATACCCCCTTGACGGTATTTATAGTTTTCTATGTGGCATTCACAGGGTGGGGTTCACTTTCTCACTCCACTTCTCAATCTCCTACTCTCCCATTTCTTTACAAAAATACTGCAATGCATTTGGTCATTGACTAGGATATAAATTGCATTCTAGCAGAGAATTTAATTTTCCATCTACTTGCACCTTATCTAATTAAATGTGACCCAGGTGCATGTGTGTCCCTAGTCACTACAAAAAAAACCAAATTGTTATGAGTACTCTCTATTTTTTCACATTTGTCATTTAAACCTTCCAAGTAATTTCTGGTTTAAAGATCTGCATGATGACTTCTTATGGAATTATTTTTTATGCATTAAGTATGGTATTTTTTATATATTAGTCTGTAAAGATTGCATTACCATTTTTCCAACGGAAGAAAACATATTTTAACTGTTGTTCTTCCCTCTTTTTAATTGAGTAATAAGTTTAGTTGCTTCTTTTAGTAGTAGGTATTACCCTCTTCAACGCTTCCACATAGTATAAAGACTACTCTGCTTTTTTAGACACATGCAGACTCTCTTACTCAAATCAGATCATTTCCATCTGTTAGCACGATTCGTGTAGGCAGGAGATATTTTAAAAAGAGTCAGAAACTAAGGTTTATTCGTTCTGTTATTGAAGACAATACTATCAAAACTGTATTATGATAGACTGCCTGCAGTATAAACCTTGGGAAGGGTTCTTTTTTCCTTTTTTAATTAACATTTTCAACTGGATCAAGATTACTATTTCCCGTATCATAAAACTATTTATTTTACTGCTCTCTTTAAAAACTTAACTTCGTTCTCATGGTTAAAGCTGTTTCAGGAAAAAAGAAATCTTGTGGGCTGATAAACTGATGTGAAATAGCAAGTATCCAAATCACTGTTGCCAAAACATAGTTTTGGACAGTTTTGTTGCAGAACAAGGCTTTAATCTGCCCAGGAGGACAACAGAATCTCCAGAGACAACCCTGAAACACAGATGTAATCCTGATTAATCTTCGCCACCTTTGGTGTGATTGCTACTGATGACTTAAAGATGTCTAAATAAAAAAGATCATTCAACTATTTTAGTTCTGACTGCCATAGTGTAGCTAGCAAATAAAAATTAAAGCAAAAACCCAATTGTAATTTATGCAATAATCTACATATTCACATTTCCTAAAAACATGCAACATTATAAGAACAGTAATTTCCTGGTTTTTTCCTGTTCTTTAAAGAAATGCATTAATAATATCTCTGGAAATATGTGTATGTTGAATAAACCTTTTCTTAGAGAGGAGGGAAGAAGAGGTGCAAATTGAAACAGGAGTTACGGGAAAAGAGTATACCCTCTTTCAAGTAGATCGATTTACCATCATATACCTATACTGTTCTCTGCTATGCGATAGAAAAGCATTTAAATGTTGCTTTTAACTCTGGAGAATCTATTCTAAGATCATGTAACACAGATATAATTGCACATGGTTTAAGTGTGTGACTACTTGTGTCTCTGAATCACTCCACAAGGTGATGCAATGCATCAGTATTCAGAGTCAACCATCATCACAGGCAAGGTTATGGGCCAACCATGTGCTCTGTAAGTCCATATCAAGTATGGGGTTCATATCAAGTATTTTAAAAATTATCTTTACAGGATTTTTGTTTAATTAATACCCTGTAGTTACAAATAATATATAATAGTTATCATAAGGTACATACTTTTTAGGAAGTTTGACTTTTTTAAGATCTTCCTCAGCTGCTGGATGAGCGTGAACAATGTGACATCCAAGGGCTAAAAGGGTTCTAAAAACATAAAAAAACATCAGTAGTGAAACACAACATTATAGCGCTCACCCATTTTATAAATTTATCTTATAAAATATAATAAATAAAACATTCAAAGTCTAAAAAGGTACAAATCTGTGGCTTGAACGTTATGCCACATAATTACACTCAAGAAGATTTGGTGTTGTGTTCTTTGTATCTCTGCAGAGACAAGATTTTTCTAAATCGCTCTGAATGTGTTCCTGGAACTTCTAGCAAAGTTAGCAGAACACGCTTTGAATGAGATGTTCTAATATTTTTATATCTTACAATAGTATGAAGTGCTTGAATAAAATTATTTTTTTAAAAAAGCCCCTTTATTTTCTTTTAAATTTAAAGCTCACTTGAGGGTTTCAGTTGACATTTGTAGATTATAATTCTTCTCAGTCTCAGGTAATTTTGAGAATTCCACAAGACAAGGATGATGCCTTTTATTATCATCCCGTATCTGTAACAAAGCAACAGAAAAGAGTACTTTCCTGGTACCAGATTCAAGCCAGAATCAGAGTAAAAATATCAGTTAATTTTTTGCAATACTGAAGACATTGTAAGCAATACCATTTATCTTTGCTCATTAATAGTTACTCATAATACAGCTATTTCATGTGTTCTGCGTAAATACACAAAACACAAGAAAGCAAGCCTGTAAACTCAATTAACGTTTGTGTTGAATGCCTGAGCAATATATGCTCAATAGAGCACAATCTGATCTATTGTACACATTATGATTCAAAACCTTAGAGAATCATTTAGTAATATTTTCCAAATTCTATTGTAATAACAAAGCAGAGCATTGTTATTACATAAGTCTTCTATCTTGATGGCTACTAAAAGTCATGACATTTCACATATAAAAACATTTTTTCAAATGCCAAAGCTCAGAAACATTAGAAAGGTTAGTACACCTTGTGAGATAGGATACAGTTGTGATGGCCACATGGAGGACTACCCCAGTAAATTTGACTTTGAAAAGAAGCAAGATGAAATAATCTAAATTCAAGGCAGAATACAGCCTTTAGAATTTTTTTTTAAGGTACTAATTTTAATACAATTGTTGAATTTCATATAATATTTGGAATATAATATTCTTGGCCTACCCTTTTAACTGTTTTTAATTTGGTGACATCCATTGGACAGGGAATTCCTTGTCATATGCATTTAAATAATGTTGACCAGATGGCCTTACTTTCTTCAAGGTATTAAGTTATACACATTATAAGAAAATATTATAATGATAAGTTTTAACTGTAACTAATTAAATAAAAAAACTCAGCTTTGAGGAATTTGAATGCTTACAAAAGTCACCAAAACCCTGCCCCCATTATCAACAGAAGGAAATTTCCACAACAGAATTTTGCTTGTTATCAATTTGATCCCTGACACTAGAGGAACCAAAGAGTTTGTTGAGGGGTTACTCACTATTGGTATGATTTTCAGTAGAATTCCATCTTGATATAGCTAGTGTGTTTCCCAATTAAGATATTTTTTCAAAAAGTTAATTACTTATAGCGCTAAAATACGTACCTTATTTATTTTCAAAAATTGCCTTCTAATCACTAGTTAAAATGACTGTCTCCTGCCACCTTACATGTTCATCTATTGTTAGTAATGTATAGACCACCATCAAATCCTTTGCTCAACTTCTGGTTATTCTGGTAGGAGACTTAACCTAATATAGGTGACTCTACCTAGACAGGTCATTCAAAACATACCTTGCCATACGTCCAGCCCAGTTCTATTTTATTCATTCCCCACAGTTCATGAATATTTTCAGCTAGTTTGTCCCTGATCTTTTCAAGATGAAAAGGAAGAGCAATCTAAGAAAAGAGCATAACAATTCCACAAATAAGAAAAGGTTTAAGTTACCACACCCTGTAGATCCAAGATCATCTAGTTCAGCTAAATACATCACAACACATAAATGATGAATTACTAAGAAAGAGGGCAAGACTAATTAGTTTTTATATTGTGAATTTAAATTTTGTTAAGACATATTTTACAATCCAATTACTGCATATTTAACATACCTGACTGGTATCTATTGGACAAGGGATAAAGGAAGCTTGGGAGAGAAATTGTGTTGTACCCAGCAAATCCCTCACTCCCTCAGAATCTCTCTTATATTCTTTCACTGGTTCCAGTTTCATCTTCTCTTTTGGCAGCAATGCTTCATAACAGGGAGCATAGCCAGCAGGAGGCAGAAATTTAAACTCTCCGTGACGTCCACCCAATAAGAAACGAACTCTGCAATTTTCAGAGAATAAATTATATTTTTAAGTAGTCAGCGTATAGTAATATTATAAATAAATTATTTAGAAACTTAAACAGCTATTTGAATAGCATTTATAAAAATGCAGGTGTATTTCATGCTTTGATAAACACCAAAGATTTACCAAACGTTCATACTAGCAGATACAATCAATAACACCCATCACCTACCCTCTATTTTTTGAAAATCTGTTTTGGCCAAAGCAAAATTAACTATTCAATATGGTAGTGTATTTAAAAGAAAAAATTTCTTACTTAAAAATCAAATGGTTGTAAATTGTGAAATTTTTGATGCATTAAAATTATTTGAAAGCACAAATCTAATTTAAATTGGACTGTAACTCTAAAAAATCCCATAGGGACTACTTATATGCCACTTAAAAGTTTTAAACTAACTTCTTGGTGCACTCATGCAGGCAGTTGGCACATGAGAAAAAAAACAGCGGATATGGTGAAAAAACCCCACTATAATCAGAATAGATACATCAAGCAAACAAAATTACACCACATACTGTAACTGAGAATGAGTTTCAGAAATGTAACCAAGATTCCTATTAAACCCCTAAAGTTTTCTGTTTCTCCTCAGATACATATTTTTAATATATGAGTATACCAGGAAAAACAATAAAGACGAAAACTATCCAACTTCATGCTTTGGTCCTCACATAAGCAAACTCTAAAGGTAAATAACCACAGAAAACTAAAAACAACAGTAACAACTGTTATCTGTAGGAAATAGCCCAGACGTGATGGGCTGACCAGGGGAAGCCTATACCGCTTTTTACTTACAATTCTAGAAATATTAGAACTATCAGATCAATGTATTTCATTGACAGTAAAAGACATTAATGAAAAAAGAAGAAAAATTAAGACACACAAGTTTTCTCAAACACGATGTACAAAAGCACAAGGTCACAAGTATCTGAAATGGTTCAATGTCCACAAGAAATACATTATTATTGATTACTTCTATTAGGCTTGAACTTTCTAATTTCATTTTAAAAATTAATTGTTTAAATTATCTGAATGATTCCAAGGCAGAGATTACAACTTTGAGTTTGGACCTCTCTTTATGGCAAGCCTCTATACAGATCAAAGGACTTTAAAAATAAAAAGGCGGTCAATCTTATTTTAAGACCTAGAAGTCTAACTTCCTAAATAGACAAAAGTCAAAGAAAGAATCGAAGTTTAAAAATCTCATGCAAATCTTCCCTTGCTCACCACACCCCCGTACATAGCTCCTTGCTTCCTGCCAACTTGGTCAGTTTTTCTGACTTGTAGCAAACCACTCAATCTCACCTGATCCTTATGATGTTCTCATTCCTTCCTAGGCCTGTTTTCAACCTGCTCTTCACTGCAGTATCTAAACCTCCACAAAAGCTATATATTCCTAATGCTGCACACTCTCTTTTAAAAACCTGAACACTCCATGAAGCTGTAGCTTTTGGTCTCACTTCAAAAGAAAGCTTCACATCTTTCGATTTGAAAATCTTGTTTTAATTTGCCTGACCTTAACCTTAGATAGAACCCATCTGAAAATCAAATATAAATCAATATAACTCCCACAAGACAGACAGAAATAGTTAAACAGGTTGATTTATGTTAATTACTGCTCCTTTTGCGTCATTTCAACAACTGCACCTACCATTCAAGCAGTTTGCTAGCAACTATACTTACGTTTTGTAGCCTGAATGACAAAACTATTCTAAATACACTTTTGCTTACTGCAAAGGCTATCTGTGAAAGACGAGAGTCCATGATAACAGTATTTAATGTGCCTCATGCTTAATTACCAAAAAATACAGGCATTTATTTTTAGGATATTGATATTTCATGTCAACACATCCAGACCCCTAACTTCCCTAAAAACATGCTGGTTGGATCATTTAAAGTTAATCTCATATTTCATTTATTTATCTCTGCATTTACATGTTTTAAGAAGAGGTTAAATAAACCTGAATAGAAGAAAAGAAAAATAGAAGAAAATCAGTTCTCCATACAGAGTTGCTGTTTAAATTCCTTGATTATTTGAATAGCCATATTGTAGTACCAGAAGCAGAGCCCATAGCACCATTGGTAGAAGGTGGAAAAAAATTGATAAATAGGGAGAAAATGCCTACAGTAAAAAACACAATAAGAGACAGTGCAGGTCAGCAGGTGCTGACAAGGCTTTAGAGAGGAAAAACTGATGATGGAGTGATAAAGCAGACCCAGAATCAGAGACTAAGCAAGTCACAGAAAGCAGAGGAAATGCAGATAAGCCACAACAGAAGTGGAAATATAAGCCTTTGTGCCCAGTGCAGAACACTTTCCGCCACTCACGAACTCAGGATTCCCATGTAATAATATTTCTCTGATATTAACAGACACAGAAGATGACATATAACCTGCTACTGCCATCAGCTGCTATTAACTACAAGGGAAAATACTCACAAAATACACAAACAACATCAAATAAGAATAAAGAAAAATAATCACACCAGTTTAGGCAGATTTCTTATAGAAAAAAGTAATTAACATTTTCAAAAGCTCTTGTACTAATGCAGTTACATAGTAGGGTCACTCCCAGAGTATAAATTAAAATTGATCCATTAAGCCCTTCCAGGCCTCCTTTACTCTGTTTGGTCTCTGTTAGTATTCTCAACTGGGAGGTTTTCTTTAAGAATGAGAACTGCAAAGTATTTATTTATTGTTCACAGAAGGAAGAGCCCCCAGAGAACTAGTTACCGGATTTGCTTCACCTCAGAGAAACAGAGTTCCTTTTTCTTAATTGGTAAACGTGTGAACCATTTATACCCTGAGCTTTCTTCCACTTAGGAGAGCTAGATACTGTCTATTCTGGCCATACTGAACTTTCATTTCTCAAAAATTACCAGGTATAAGAGAAACCCTCCTTTAACCCTCCTTTTCACTATCTCTTACTCTGCTCCTGATTACTGTTTGGCAGTTTCTGGCAACTATTGACATGTAGACTATTAGCATTTTTTCATAGTGCAGAATTTTCATAACTTATCCATACTTTATGCAGAAATCATGCTGAGCCTACAAAAGACAGAAAAATGCCAACCTTTGTTATCTTTATGTCTTTCTTTCCTAGAATTGTTGCCTGTCAATAACAGCAATAAAGATGCTCTAAGATGAGCTGTATAGAAATTAGTCATGTTATAACAATAGTGCAAGAACTAGTAATTTGTTGTTGTGTCAACTTTTTAATGTTAACATAAGTATTTTGGCCACTTAAGTAGACTGACATTTGCAGATTTTATGAATTAATTCAAGGTAAGATAACAACAGAAGCCTGAAAATGGCAAGTTTGAATCTCAGTATTTTAGCTACAAAACAGGTAAGAAATAGGCAATATTAGTAATGAGATTCCAAAACTTCTCATTAGTTCTTTGTGTTTCCTACTGTGAAAACACTATCAGTTTTCATGACGATTTAGTTTTTTTACTTCCTG